TTTAAATATAAAAAGCTATGAGAAAAGTAAATATTATTTAAAATTATAAATAAATTAACAGAATAATTATAAACTAAAACAATTAAATAAAGAACAGTAAATTATTTTTCATACAGAAAACTATAAAGAGAAACGAGTTCTCTTTTCAATAAAAAAGAGACAAGTTCTTAAACTCTTCGAAGGTATAGTTCTGCCAGCTCAGAGATGGATTCGATTCCACCGATGAATCCAGCAACGAGTTTAGGAAGTTATACTTTTATAGTCCGTGGTACAGACTCTTTTTTTTATCAAATTATTAACATCCGACTGAAACTTCGTAAATAGCTTCATCTCATCGTAACCTACAAATATTTTATTTACTAAAATTCTCGAGATTGGGACGTTTTCTATCTGGAGGTCGGCAAACTTTGTCTATTTAATTAGGTACTAAAAACTCGTATATATCCATTTGCTTTCTACTTGGATCGGGGGATGATTTGATCACAAAATCGATAAAAAAAAGGTGGCCTACAAAAATATTGGGCCGTTTTGGCTGTAAAACCTTGTTAATTTGAGAATTTGGAAGTTTAGTTCACGACAAACGACTTAAGATTTTTGATTTTGTGCTCAAGTTATCTTACGATCAAAAAGGAAAGCAAATGGGCATATACGAGTTTTTAGTAACTAATTAAATAGGACAAAGTTTGCCTACCTGCAGATTGAAAATGCCCCAATTCCGAGAATTTTTATAAATAAAATATTTGTAGATTACGATGAAATGAAGCTATTTACGAAGGTTCAGCCAGATGTTAATAATTTGATAAAAAGGTTACTGTACCATGGACTACTAAGTTTCGATTAGAACACACTATGTACGTTACTATTATAAAAGTAATATTTAGATATAACCGTTGTAATTGTCTTATCGTATGTTACAAAAAAATCTTATAATATGTAAATATGTTTCGTTAAAAAAAAAAATCTTCCAATGATCTAATTTCACAATATATATTATGTTACGTCTAATTAATTTATGCCTAAGTGTATTTTTTTTTAAATATAAAAGTAAAATTTGTAGAAAATAAATTATAAGGTTAAGTAAAATAAGTTTCAGATACGTCGTTTTAGAAAATAAATAACTGCCAAAAAGAGAACCTTTAAAAAATTAAACTTTGTAAAAACAAATTAATTTAATATGTGTTCTGCCATCGATTGGTGAGTATTATATATTTTACTTGGTTTTGACTGTTGTTTAAAAAAAAAATGGCTTTATAAGGCGTAAAAGTTAAAAAAAAAATACATATTTTTTTCAAGGTAGAAATATGTTTGTAGGAGAATTGTAATCATTTAATGTTATCTATTTTTGATTAAATTTGAAAAAAATAAATAAGGACCCCATAAATAATGATTTGATCACTGAAAAAAATAGTTACGAGAAATTCATTAAAAAATGTACCTCAATATGTAAATTATTTTTATCGAAAAATGATTCATAAGAATTAACAAATGTTTAAATTAACAATGTTTCCTTACCAACAAATTAACAATATTTCCTTACCAATGATCTAATTTCACAATATATATTGCTTTTGAACTAGGCTTGTTTCAAAATATTTAGTATATTCAAAGGTAAGGAAGAGGTTGACATTTTTTAACAAAATTAAACTTTTATTGGTATTTCGTAGCACAGGAATATGCCCAGATGAATTAAGTTCAGTCAAAACAGTTAATATTTAAACTGTAATGGAACCTCTAAACACAATTCTGTAGATAAAATGTGCACTTGATATGAATATGGAAATCGTCGTTAGCAATTCTTGTTCGGAAAAAAGTTCCTACTCCTCTTCTTGAAGTAATTTTCGAGAGAAACGTGAGACACCAGACGAATGACAAAATTCTTTTCTTTTTTTTTCTTACATTTTCAATTAGGTTACTATATTTTTAGTAGCTGTAAATATGTGGTTATACAACACGTAAACACGTACAGAAGTAATTTAATAAACTTGCGATGTACCATCAGGGGAGAGCTATATTAATGAAAAATTGATTCTTGAGTTTTATAACTTTATATATATATATATATATATATATATATATATATATATATATATATATATATATATATAAGGTATCTGTGGTCCATGTCACTAAAAAATCCCCAAAAAAACGAAGCATCGAAAAATTTTGGTACATTGAGAAAAAAAATTTCCAGAATCCTATTAAAAGGATCAAAATAGATTATTTAAATAAGAGTCTGTCTAAACATAAATTTACAATTATATAACTACCAGGTCTCTCTATGTACGTCCATTACGTAATACGAGACACAACACAACCTTATCCAAACTAATTTCAAAAGGAAAAAATATATTTTTTAAATATTAGTTTCAAATGAAAAAACTAATAAGAAAAAAACAAACAAATAAGAAAATTATCAAATCACCTAAGTAACCGTTACGTCAATAGAAGTAAAGGTATCTTGAAGCTTAAGATTAGATATGAGATTGCTTTTGTGTCAAATCTATCAGTTAATCATTTTACTACATGAGAATTCATTAATGGAGGAACCAAAGGCGGTTCAGAAATTAATTATCTTAAAATAGAAATAGTAATTTTACTATGAATACTATTTATATACATATTTTTTAAAGAATACATAACTGAAAAAAAAAAACATAATGCAATAATGATAATTTTCCCGCCAATTAAAGATGGTATCAGTACATGAGTAAATTTCGAATCACGTGAAACTTCTGCCAACTTAATACCACAAATTATCAAAATTTTACTAAAACTAATTAGTGGCCTTAAAATATTAAGGATATATATACATCTCAAAGAGTGAAATTGTACTTTATTTAAACTTGACCAATTTTCAAACAATACTTGTATTTTTAACTGTATTTGCAATATTATTAGTAAGATATGCAAATTACTATAAAGTTGTTTACTGTTACAATGATTACTTATGATAAATATAAAAACAACTTAGCATAATTCTAATGTTTTAATACCATTTTTAAATAAACAAAACGTCGAGAAAGACTATACTACAGTAGTAAAAAAAGTAGTCCAACTGAAATCATTTGAAATGAATTATAATTTTCAATATTTTAAGGAATGATAAGAAAATTTATTTCATATCAATAATATAAATTTAATTCTTCCTGTTCCATATAGCAAAAAGGAATTACACATAATGTTAAGAATGATTGTTACTTAACATATCAATCAAATTTACCTGTTATAACTAGCAAAAAATATATAAAAATAAAATAGAAAAAAATTCTCACCTTTTAAAATGATCTCTGATTCTGTCTTCGCGGATGTTATCCGGCAAATTTCCTACCCAAAGGTGACGAGTCTCCCTAACCATCTTGTTCTAAACTCTTCATTTGGGACCTACGATCTCACGTTTCATTCCACAAATAAAATTAAACCAGCACTCACATGCACATAGTTGTGGGGGAACAACTTTCAACAAAAAAATACATGGAAAAAAATAAAAATTAAAACTATAAAACTCAATATTTTTTTCCCTGCAGCACTTCACACTTAAAACACTGTAACACCTTCTTTCTTATAATTATTATTATTTATTGTAAACGATGAGAGGTCGCATTTCGCCGAGATGTACACTCACTCTCTCGAGGCACAGACCGAAGAATGGCTGTGTGTTTACGAGCTGGGCTCAAGGCACGGTCCGCCATTGGACGAGTCCACCAGGAGAGGGGCCGGGGTGTGTCACTTACCTCCCTCGCAAGATCCGGCAACGCCGCTTCGCCCTCTCCCCCCTCCTTTTCTCTTACCCGGCCTGAGGAGAGAAAAAAAAATTAAAAAACTATAGAAGAAGAGAAGAATAAAAACGAGAGACGGTTCAGCTCTTAAGTGGCAGTGACAAGTGCATGTATAGCCCGCTTCTACTATAAATAGACCGCCTTTTCAAGGTCTCATAACTCCGCCATGGCGAACAACGAAACAGGAATCGCTAAACAAGAACTCCAAAAAATTAAAAGCTAACATATAAGTATATTATTCCATTTTGTGGCTGCTTATAGTAAAATATCATCTCAAAAGACTCACATCTAGACATCTACTTACTCAATTGTACCAAATTTTGCAAATAATGATTACGTGTCTTTACTGTTTTATAGGATCATTAAAACTTAATTGTTAACTCTAAAACAAGTACAAATAAATAACTTATAACCATCGAAAAATAACTCGTTTATTATCAACTCAAAACTCATTTGCTGAATAATTGATTTCATTTTTTTTTTTCAGTATTTAGGTAAGTAACTCGAATCATCAAATTATATTTTAAATTAATTTTATCCATTTTTTAAGAAAAGCATTTGATACAATTGTCCATATTTAGTTTATAAAGGTATTCATTTAGATCAATTATGGATGAAAATACAAAATACTGAAATATAAATCATTTTACGATTTACTTAAACTAACTTAAATAAAAAATTACTAAAAAATAAAGTTACATATTATTGATTAGTTATTATTCTATAGTATTTATCAGAATTTACTCAAATAAAATACATTACATATGTTTAAATAATTATAGTAAAATCAAAATGAATCTGATTTTCTTCCATTACTATGCATAATTGGAAAATTTATTTTGAATTATTATGCGCTAGCGTTTAAATTTTGTATGACATCATCTAAATTATTTTCAATGTTGAAAGTGAGCAACTAAATTAAATATAATATTTTTACAATTTCCTCAATTTATTCCATTATATTTTGAATATATAGCATTGAAAACAATTATAATTAATTTAAAAATTGGTGCTTTCTATTACTACTTATCACCTATCTTCAATATTTAAAAAAAGATTTTTTTTTTAAACGCAGTAATAAAATTGTATATTATAATAATATAAAAATATATAAGAAATTATTATTTTATTTAATCTTGAAACCTTAACCTCAAATGTCATGGTAGCACACTCTATTATTTATTTTTGGAACTAAAAAATATGGAGTATTGAAAAATAACATCTTTCATATTAGATAAATTTTTATTTTCACATTAAAAAACACTACGCTGAGTGGTAAAATTACCAGCACTACAGATATAACATATTCTTTTGAAATATACATTGATGAATTCCAATAAATTAAATATTCACAAATTTAATTAATTCATAACTAATTACCTAAAGCTATAATGACTATCATTGTGTTTTTTTCATAAATTATTTACAGACATTAATTATTTACATGGTTTTGAATACATTTTGTTAGTCATTGCACTTCATTTATCCCTCTCTTAATTATTCTGATGACTTTATTCATAGATTGATAGATTATAATTACTTGAAATTCATATTTAACCTTCATTACAGGGATGACATCAAGTCAATATCTGCAACCAATATCAAATTGGTAAAATGAATGTTTAAATAATAAATACAATTTAAATAAGTATTAATATTAAAAAATGTATAAAATCAATTTATGTTATTATAATTCAGTTATATATCAATCATTTTTTTCTAAAATAGTATTTGGATTGTGATAAATCCTAAAAATCTTAACTACCTTCGAAAGAAAAGCACAAATTTGAAATACACAAATCTTAATAAAATCCACTTATATTTTCATCTCATGTATATAATTTTCCATTACCATAACTTGAATAGAATCATATTCAGAATAGATTTTAAAACATATATATTTATACTACTACTATTTTATTCTTATTTATTAAAATAACTCAACAAAAGCTGTTTTCAACCATTCAAAAAAACAACAGTAATCATAAACCATCCGTTAATTACTCCATTGAAGTAATTATTTAATTAAAATTTTTGTTTTTTTTTCTCATTCTTTCTTTATCTCCAATATCTTTAGCTTTATTTAATATTGAAGAAATTATGCTAATATGGCCAAGTGTTTCTAGGATCCCGCGATTTTATACTGACAGGGTCATTCAAAATTTGTTTATTTATTTCAGGTTAGTCTTAGAAAAAATTCATTTGAGTCCAACTTTTTAAAATAACATATGACAATTATTTAGAATAGTTAAATTTTAGATGGATAGCCAAGTATTAAAACTAGGTTTATAAACCAAACAGAAAACTTTTATACATACCATAGTCATTCCTGAATGAATCTGAAATTGGTAATATTGGTGAAAGCTGATAAAACCATCACAATTAGTTATTCCAAAATCATTTTGATATGCCACATTCTTCTAGTTCAGTTATCGATTTTCAATCGCTGTCATCATCATTATGACTTCTATTTAGTGGCTGCCTGCTTTCTTCATCGGATCCATAAATAACATCTTCATCTGAATCGTTAATCATCGAAAAGGCAGGATTATCTTTAGTAATGGAGGTATCTAAAAAAATATATATAATTTATTAGCATTAGTTGCATTAATGTGTAAAAAAACTGGAGAAATCATTAATTGTAGTTGTTATTTGAAATAGAGAAATATTCCCATTAGCATCCATTGGAATGTTTTCCTTCTTCAAATGAAACCATTAATTGGTTTACTCATAATTTTCAAATAATAAGAAAAAATCATTAAGGCATAAACCAATTAAATTTATCAAGATGGGAGTTATAATTTACAAAATGTTCTTTTCTATCTACCCACTTCCACTTGAATCTCCTATTTTTACTACTATATTATAAAGACTGAAGCTCTCTGTTCTTCCTTTTTCTCTAGTACTTTAGATCTTTATTTTCAAAATGTTTAGAGCAATGTTATAAGAGGAATGAATTCATTTTCATATATCTCATTCATACATTTCAAAATAAAAGACTAAAATGTTTGTAAAAATTACAATTAGCTGTATCTTGCCTAAAAATGGTCCAATTTTGATTACTCTTTCTTCTTCATTTCTTTTAGAGAATTTAGAAGCATTTCTAATTTGTATGAGTATAGGCATAAAATGTATAATTTTGGAGTTATGCACAAACAAAGTTGTCTTTTCCTTTTCTACATAACTTTTTTTCTAACTTTTCTAGATGTGCTTATTTGTTGCACCTGAAGAAGGACATTATCTTTCAAATGATTGGTCAATTGGATTTAATGTAGAATTAACGAAGAACTGGCATTTGGTCTAAGTTTAAGGTTAAGGGAAAGAAATGCAAATTTAGTGGTTATAGTCAAAGACCTTTGACAAAAAATACAACTTATCTTAAGTGAACATTCATTCATAAAAAATGAAAATTTTACAAATTAATTATACAAAATTAAAATCTACGTATGAAATAACAAAATAATCTTACCAAAAACTGTTTTCTTGCTAGGCGAGTATACATAAGCCATTGTATACATGTAAAAGTTAAGAAGTCCATAAAAGCTCATGAACTGGGCGGAGCTACTGTATGTCGTAGAAAGGTCAGAAACAAAATTGTCCTCAAGAACTCCGATACCAAACCTCATCACAGTTATTATAATGCTAATAGTAATGACAATTATCATTAGAAGAGTAAGGAACTTCAGCCTCATATCTAAAAAGATAAATAATAAAAAATTAAAAATATTGCTAAATTTATGTTTCCTTATTATTATTACTTTACATATGATTAACGTTTTTGAGGTCTTACATTATCCTCAGGTTCATCTAGCAATATCATTATACGATATATATTTCATAATTCACATCGCATTATTTTTACATACATAGATGGCACTACATCCAGTCACCAAGGCGGCCTCCTCCAAAAGCTTTCGCCAGTCAATGCGATCAGCTACAGCAGCTCTCTAGTTTCGGACTCCCAATAGAGCCCGTGCATCCGATGTCACTGAGTTCTCCCATTTTATATTTGGCCTGCCAACCTTTCTTTGTCCATACATCTTTCCAGACAGCATTTTCCTGGGTATCGCCGAAGTCGTCCCCAGCTCATCGAAGTCGTTCTATCTTGATAAACTTGACCAAATCGATATACTTATAAAGTCAAGCGAGTTCGGCATTTCTCCTTCTTCTCCAAATTCCACCCTCTCTAACAGGACCAAAAATCCTTTTCAAAATTGATCTCTCAAAGATCAGAAGTCTATTTTCATCTTTCTTTTTAAAGGCTCATGCTTCTGATCCATAAGTTAAAAACATAATTTTTATAACATGAGTTAATTTAACATCAACCACTAACAAGTAATTATATTTTTAAAATTATTTGTTGGTGTAAAATGTTGAATTATGTGTTATTATGTTATGTAATTATAGGATGTGAATTATGAAATATTACATATTTTATAATGATGTTAGATGATTCTGAGGATACAGTGACATCCCAAAATATTGATCTTTTATGAAATAATGATAATAAACAGAAGATAGTGTTCATATTATGAATAATTTTATATAATAAATAATTAAATCTTCCTTAACCATTATAAATTAACACTAGAAGTAATAAAAATGAATTATTACTGAACCTAAAACAATAAATTGTAAATGTTATAAGCCACAAATTTTAAAATATTTGTTTCAGGAGAAATTTTTTTTCTTTTTTATATGAAAATATTTGTTTCAGGAGAAATTATGGATATTTTTTCTTTATTTGAAAGTATTTTTTAATTCATCTATGACAATGTCAGAAGGTGTGGGGGTATGAGGTGTTCCTGAGTTATGAAGTATATTAAAGACAGAGTCAAAAATGGCACCCAAGGCTCAAAAGTTAATTACAATATCAGAAGGTAAACTAAGAAAGTTTAAACAAATAGTTTCATTATGTACAATACCATGATATTATTAAAATTGGCAATTCTCTGTCCGTGTGATAATTTCAGTTTTGGGTAAAGTAATAATACATTATGTATGTGAAATATTTTAAGTGTAAATTTTAATTTATTTTTACTTACCAAAAAAAGGCATTGATCGCAGCTCAGTATAGGCTCTAACGATTAAGCATCCCAAGTACAACACATAAAGACCAATAAATACAAAAAATACCAATTTGAAATTCTGAAAAAATAATTCATTTTATTTATTAATTTACAAATAATAAACATACGTTCAAGTCATTAATCTTACACATACATAGAAATTGTGTGTGTCTACTTTATAGCTGAATGTTGGATCGTGCAACTCATTCGCCTTCTGCCAAGTTGCCAACACGACACCAGTTATCCATAATGGCCCAACTATAAGTAGTTTAGGGAGATAGAATGTTATTAACTTTCGTTCTGTCTGCAATAAAAAAGAAAAAAATTCTTATTCTGAAGGAATATTGAAAATATTAAAAAACAGGTTTTATCCTCATTGGTTCAATATTTCACTAATATTGTTAGAGGATGTCACCAAGGTTACACATATACACACAAATAAAAATAGATTATGAAAGAATATTTATGAAGTATATTTTAATATAAATCACATAAGAGAATAAAAAAATGATAAGTCCTGCCACAGCCAAGAAAAGAATACATACAAACATAAGTACAATGGAAACAATTAATAATATTATACATTTAATAACTAAAAACTTAAGAAGCACAAAACACTTACTGCCCAGGCATATTATATATTATGATCAAGCTAAAAGATTTTTAAATTTGTTTTATGTACAATTATAAAAAATTAAGATATGTAAGATAGATTTAATTTGCCACAGTCTAGAACAGAGATCTGGAAACTACGACCCGCGAAAGTTGTTTTATTATTTAAAACTATTTATAAATAAGAAATTTAGTAAATCACTCAAAAACACGGTTACTTCAACTAATATTGCATGAGGTTTTTCTCTTAGAGTTATTTGATACCGGAGTCCGTTCTGAAGACCAGAGTCATTTGTAGAAATGTATGTAATTTTTGAACCAGGTGGTAAAATTCATCATTTGTTAACTATGGTTTTCGACCACACCAATATCTGCTCAAATATGGCTAGATAATATTTAAATATATTATAATTCCTCAAGTTAATAGTCTAAAGTAAAGTTGTTAATAGTTTTAAACCATTTCTCACCAACTAAATACAACTTTAAATATTTTTAGAAATATGCACTTTTAAACATCTCATTTTTTAAACATCACACGTTTTTCATCACTCTTCACTACCTTCCATGAGTTTATATATACAATATTTTTTTTTCTAGAATCCTTAGCTTTTCAATGATATATAATAAGTAAATATTACTACACTTATTTCCGAAAATTTGTTTTCAACATGAAAAACATATCTCTTTTTTTCTCCTTTAGTTATTTGACAAATTTTTTCATAGTTTACAATTAGACATTTTTATTACTACTAACAATGAGAGACTTTAATTATTTCAAATATCCCAAATTACAGATACTCTATAGAGAGAAATTTAGGCATTTCATTCCTGTCAATTGTTTTTTTTTTTTTAATTTTATTTTATTGCGATTTACAACTGTATTACATGGAAAATACAATAAGTAAATGTGACATTGGTAACATGACATGTACAGCATGAAGAGAAACTACCCATTGGTAGAACTCAAACCTGTCAAAATATTTCAATAATGATAAGACCTGGCTGATATAAAAGACCGATAAATTGTAAATAGACATAACTAATTTAACCAGAATTGTAAGGAGCCGTTTATTTCATATTAAATTGAATGAAGGAAATTATTTAGACATATAATTAATAATTACTGACCTGCCTTAACCCATGATAGATGCAAATCCAAAATAAAAGAAGACAGCAAAGAAAAGTTGCTTGAAACAAAGCATCCAGCATGCTGGGAATCCACGAATTCATCAGAAAGGTGAGGGGAAATATCGGATCTGAAACATAAAACCAAAACAGCTATATATGTGCACAACATATAATATTGTGAGATTTAAAAATGTAGTTACCATTATAAAGAAGTAATAAAGGTAGCATAATAGACATCCATTTCTGTTCTATTGACCAATCATACATCGGAAATTTTCTTAATGTATGAGCAAACCATATCTAAAAAAACATAAATCATAATCTTGAAGGAAGTAAGTCGACTGTTCTACATATCTTGGGTGATAAATAATAATTAACAATTAATATCTAGATACAATAATAGTAACTGATTATTCATATCAAATAATCTTAAATATTGAATAACAAATATTCACTTACTGATATTATAAAGGTTGTAAGAAGGAATATGAATCTGAACCAAATTTCGATTTGGGTAAAACCAGGGTTGTAACTCTTGAACTGAAATTAAAGATAAAAATAAAGGGTAAATATGTAAATTTAAACAAGGGTTATTGCACTAATATATTTTTTAAACTAAAAATTATTTACATAAAATGTAACGTCTTTTATATTGTATCGTTGGTTTTCAAAACCGAAGAACTGTACTTTTATTTTATAATGAGCGTAATCCAAATAACCTAGGTGAAGTATTGTAATTTGTTCACAAAATTGGCCATTACATTGCAAATGTTTCGTTCTGCAAAAAGTTAAAAAACAGTTGTTATGTTGTTAGTTATTTATATTTTTGAATAATACACAGTAATAATGTATGATTTGATAATAAAGTAATAAATAATATAATTTAATAATATAGAAAAATATTTACATATCTACTTTTACTAATTTTTAAAACTTTATTTCTTAATCAGGAAAAAACTGAAAGGCATATTAAGATAGAAATAACAAATTTTTTTTTCTTCTTAAAAATGAAATTTTGATATCTTTCATGATAAGGTGTCTATCGACAAACATTCAAGAAATAGTTGTTAAATAAACCATTATTTTAACAACCTATAATGAGCCTAAAATAGGGCTGATACTGTTATTTTTTTTCTTTTGTGTAAAGGAATAAAGAAAATCATAGTAAACTAGCATAGTTTTATAAAAATATAAAGAAAAATCTATAAATGGCCTTTTTAGACAAAGGCTTGGTAAATTGTTGATTTAATTTATTTTCTCTTTGGTACCTATCAGTGAACTTTCTTGGCATCAGTTTATTTTTCTTTAACAACAGTTTGTTTTAGTAATAATAAAAAAACTCTAAAAAAATAAAATCCATCATTACCTATTATGGTGGTGATCTTGCCTTAAAATCGTCACTTCTTTGTGCTCGGAATCGTAAGCTTTGATTCCAACACTCACATGAAATCTTTTATCAAGAATTTCATCTAAAATAATTAATTGGTTTTAAATAATAATTACTTAAAACTAAAAATTGATCATCAAACCAAATTAGCTAACAATCACCTTCACTATTGTCGATTTTAAACACTGCCATTACCCACAACTGTTGATTATAAGTCGACATGCGTGGACTCATAATAGTAAAAGGTCCAGATGAAATATCACTGGCTGACATATTAAGTTTTTTTAATAGTTCTGATCCTTTAAAACTTGTAGTTACTGTTATTGGAGGACCTGTATTTAAATTAAATATTAATTCTCAAAAAAATGAATACACTCTCTGTGAATGCTGAAATGGTATGGGAAGTACCTGCTAATCCAATGAATACAGCCAATCCAATGCAAACATAAAATCCAATAAAGACCATGACAAACTCCCTTTTATGCATCGAGTACAGTCGCATTTGGACTGACCTGAAATCATTTATAAACATTGATTTGATGAAGATTAAGTTGAACATTTATACATAATATACAAAGTTTTCCTACTGGACAGTCGATACTTTTTTCAATAAACCTGTATTTACAAGATAAAAAGGCATTTTAAAACTAACTAAAGAAAGTCAAAGGTTAAAAGTTTATTTTACACTACAAAACCACCCTAACACATGGTATGGATATTTAGTTAGTCAGGTGTTAAATTAAGGTACTCTATTTCAGGGAAATGAAATCTTTTAATTTTTCAAAACATTGAGTGACACAAAAAAAATAATAAAGTAAAATACAAAATTTGGTTTCAAATTTGCTTATGACCTTGTACTAAATATATTATATGTGCATTTTTTTTTTCCTTTAACAACTACGACCTATGAATTGTCTGGGACACAGTACTCTGAGGTCAGAATCACACTCAAGGCCTGTTTTCCAACTAATCCTTTGAAAAATAAGATACTCATTTTTTAGAGGCTTAGTGAGCCCCAGAAATGCAACTTGATTTTTTGCAAACCTGTTCCAAATTTCTTTTGACTTAAATAGAATAATTCCATTGAATATACAATAAACTAAACTTTTAAGAAATACTCATAGTTAAGAATTTTTAAAAACAACCTAAGGATTTTAAGTTATTTATAGTCTAAATAATTAAAGGAAATACTGGTTTTACTTTTTAAATTAGTAATTGTCGAACAATAATTTTATGAACTTTTTTATTAAAATGAAAAAAATAATAAGAGTAAAACCAAAGAAAAAAATATTTTTTCAGCAGTAGTGCTTTCAGGATTTAATTTTAAAGGGCTAAGTGTTTTTTGATTTTTTAAAAATAACATTAATTACAGAAACAACATTACTTTTAAAGATAACATTTGTGTATTTTTTATTTACACGTTCTTACATTCAGTTGCTGGCAATAGAATTTAATTTTGGAGGCTTAGTATTTTTTTTTTTTGTAAGAACGGTAATTACTCTGGAAGAAAAATATATAAAATAATGTAATTGAAGGCCTGTTGAAAAATCTGTTCACAGGAACAATTATACTTTAAGAAATAATTTTATCGTATATTTTTCTTATCATATGCCTACATTTAGTAGATGAAATACTGGTGTAATAATTTTAAAATAGTACATAGTTTGATTGTTTATTTAGTTCAGATTACACACAGAAACAAATATGGACTAATAAAAAAATATATATATTTTTCGATATTAGGGGAGGCTTCAGCCCGCCTTTTATGCTATGTGGATCCACCAGTGGTAGCTGAAGTACATGTTTATAATGTGAATACAGAACATACTGTGATTATCTATGTATTTGGTTCCACTCACCAATCACTCATATAACCAATATGGACCAATGGAAAAAAAATATATTATTTTTAGAGGAGCCTCATTCTGAAAGGGTTTTCTTCTCCTGATTATACAATATATTTATTATAAGTTCTTACAAATGTTCTAAGTATGATTTATAGGTTGGAGTGTTTGTAGCAACCCTCTTTATAATAGTTGGCCAGCATCTCTTTACTTTCTTTGGCCAGATCCATAGCTGTAATTGGCTATAAAGAAGACAGTTTTGGTATATTATTTCATTTCTTTTAATTTTATGTGTTTTAATTTTTCTCCAAGATAGATTTTCTTTATGAAATTCTATAAATTTATGTTAAATAATTATGTCAATGTAGGTATCACAATCACTGGAAGTGTTGGAGTTAATAGTATCCGACTTTTAAGTAATAAAAGAAATATATCAATGTTCAGTTGTGCCATCACCCAACACACACTTCGAAGAAGAAAAGAACATTCTGACTTTTACATTCCACTAAAAATTGAATATTATATTGAATTGCAGTTTGATATAACTGTTTCTATCAAAATACAGGATTATAGTTGTCCATTTTGTATTTTTCAAAAAAAAAATAGATTAACTCTAACATTTTTATTTGTATAAGATCAGGAATAAAAATATAAGTGCACTGGATGTTTGATATAGTTATTCGATTGTAACCTAATGTTTTGTTTCCTTTGGCAAATGTCATATATCTTAATTATTAAATATCTGTTTTTGCAATTACTATTATGTTTTATGAATTAACAAATGAACTAAGGGATAAATTATTCACAATATTTTCTATTATATTCATAGCTTTTATCATAAGTAAATTCTTTGCCCTCAAAGTTCAAGTGTTTTATTTTATTATTATTATTTTAATATGAATCTTAACTTTGAATTATTAATGAAGCAGGAGATCTCAAGGGTGAGTTGATTTATAATTTTAATTTTATAAGAATATCATATTGTACAAGTGGGTGAATCTAAATATTTTAACTTAATATTCAGTCCAAACTACAGCTGTTTATCTGCTCAAATAATGGATATTGCATTGATTTTAACTGGAAAAATATTTCATCTTATTTGATTCAAATTTGTAATATTGATTTGAATTCATAATCTTTATATGTTATTTCTCAAAATTGTATTTTTTAGTTGGTGTGGCATATCTTTGTTATTTCTTTATCAAATTCAATGATTGAGCTAGTAAAATTAAAGAGTATCTTCTTCTTCAGCTGCGAAAAATAAGCACAACACAAATAAATGTCTGAAAAAAAATTAAGAAGAAAAGGAAAATCTATTTGAGCCTAAATGAAAAAGTATACAATTCATGGTTGACTTTACCCCTGATAACTGGAAAGATTTTTAAATTCCTCACAAATCTAAACCAGACCATTGTTGGCAAAGACACAGCTTATTATAATTTCTACACATTTTTTGGTTTATTTTGAATAAATCATTGTAATCGAAATAAAATTAATTTTTCCATCTCGTAATACATTATTTTCAATTATTTTCATATAATTTTATCAGTTGTTTAATAACCAATATAGGCGTGCTTAGAAGGGGATTTCATGGTGCAAGTTGCGTCATCAAAATTTTTGAGAGGGGTCAAATTTCAATGGGGTTATGAGCTTTCAGACTAAGGGACAACAAGAGGAAAACATGAAATAGACTGCAGTAAGTGTAATTGTACATGATCTTTGATTTTTCTAATTTTGGCTCTGTTTTTAAGAAAAGGTGAGCAATAGAACCTTGAGAGGAGGGAGGGGGGGAAGGATAGATTCTTGCGCCATCGACCTTGGAGAGAGGGGCACCCTGGACCAATAAACTATTCATAGGCCAACTAGATATTAAAGTATTTTAAAATGCGTAACTTAATAATAATTGGTTGAAATTAACAATTCTTTGAATTATGATTAAAAACTGGCAACTATTATAGTTCATAAGGAGAGCTTTTTGTAGTTGGCCATAATGTGATGCATGAAGACACCTTTAGTTTGAAAAAAAAATAATCAACAATTAATAAGTGGGAGATACTTTTTATGAAAAACATCAATAATTATGAGAAAAATTCCAGATAGAAAAATAAAACATGTTCATTTTGTTTTTATAGTAATTGAATATTATTAAAAGCTGAAAGAGAGACCGAAACACTTTATAATAAAAGTGGTGTAAATATATTGACCTGCTGTATTAACAGCATACAAAACATAAGCCAATCTATAAGAACTTATATAATGTAATTTCATCATATCTATAAAGCACAGTAGAAATATATTCTTTATTTTTATTTATTTATATCACCATGAAAGCGAAGCACCAGTTATATTATTTTAAATTTAATTTGTAGTTTTTTATTCCCTTTATTAAAATGACATTTTAAAACTTAAATTTTTGCAAATTATTTAAATGAAAGAATGTGTGTCATGTATAGTACTTGACAAGAATAACATATTATATTCGGTCTTTATTTTATTATAAATTTCAAAAATTTATAATAAAGATTTCTCTATCAGCAAAACTTATATTAACTTAACAAATGAGACATTAGAGCTTCATTGAAAGTTCCATGTCCTTTGTACTGTAATTAATTCCATTAAAATAATTTTATTAATAGAAATCCTAATGAATGAAAATGCTAACCGTAGCTTAAAATAAGTGAAAGTAAAAAATATACAAACTTAAGTATTAATAGAAATTTATATTATAAAATATTCCATGTTCAGATTGTAAGTAACAAATAAATTAATCAATTAAAATACAATTTAACCTGTGCTTATGAATCCAAATGTTAGTGAAGAGATTTTTTTTTTTTTTACCTTTCGCAGCGGTCATGGTGATAAGCAGGAGCTATATACTTGTTGAATTCGCTGAAAATGTCACTAAACTGCGAAAGTGTATTTCTGCACTTCAATAGTAAACCACCAGTCGGCAAATGATACGAATATCCTAAATTTTGTCCATCCATAGCACATAACAATTTGACTTTAAATAGTTTAATAATAATGTGTCTTTGTGTAAAAGATAGATATGTAGATATCTGTATTAATCTATTTAAAACATGATGAAACTATAAATCTATAAGACATTTTATGATTGCTACCCCTAACAGCATGCTGAGTAAAGACATAACAAACTACAGCTGGTAAGTATTGATCCCTGGTGCTGCTTTACCCCCTTCAACCTGTCAGTTCTGCATGGCTTCTGGAGTATTCATTTTTATTTCAATGATTCATAAATAAATTGTAAACTCTTCTAATTAATGAAATTGATAATAATTTTATTTGGAAAAAATAATATAAATTGTGAAAAGAATGAATTGGATTTATAATGAATTAACATAAGATTTTCATCTTATACCAATTTTTAAATGAGTAAAGATAAAATTGATTTTTTATTTTATATATAAGATTTATTTTGTTATTAATGAACTAGATCCAATGCAATCTTAACAATATTATTTGACTTAGTTGCACAATGCGGTTAAATTATAAATATGCAATATGAAAATGGAAAACAACCATGAGGTATATATGATCTAATTTAATTAAATCATTTAAATTAATAATTTTGTGTTGGTCGTCCTTTTTTTAAATCATTCAAACAGTTGAACTTTAAATTATTCCAAAGTATAATTTTATTTCTAAAATAATGCATATAAGTTAATATTTTTAAAATAGGAATGTCTTATATCTATAATTAGTTAACTGTTGTAATACAATTGTGCTTCAGATAAAGGGATATCATTTATTAGGGATTCTTGAAACCCGAAAAATAACTTTATCACTTATATAACTTTTTATTTTTAAGATGTTTTGGCTGCTATACCATAATAAGTTGATTTGGTGAAATTAAGAGGAGTTGTTCCTAGTAAGTCATGTTAAACTAATTAAAAAAAAAATAACATGATTTATTAGGACAGCCTCCTTAACACCTTCAAATTAATTGATAATTGCCTGATAACCAAAATGCCTTGGAAAAAAAGTAGTTAAATTACTTTTCTGAACTGTCTTATCGACAATTAGCTAACATTAAAAATAATTGGCTTTCATCCTTGAATAAATATTTTCTATTAAAAACACAACTAAATAAAACGAGTATTAAGTATTAATAGAATTCTTTCATGATCACTATTTACAATATAATTCATTATATAAAAAAGGATGTATCCTTAATACTTTTTTTCTAAATAAATCTACACTTCTGTTCCAATTATAATAGTTTTGAATACTTACCATTAAAACAAGAGGAAGTACATAGTCAATATCAGGATAAAAAAAAAAAAAAATAAAACAATCCATCTTCTCACACATGATTTTCTAATTCTTGAAAACAGAATATGGTACTCTTGCTGAAATTTTGTATGTTTGATGTCCAAATTAGAATGATTTAATTAGATAAATATTTGGTGAGTCAACTCATTAAACTTCTTCATTAATAATAATAATAAAAAATGTTATTTTAAAAAGTTATAGCAATGAATTGATGTTCCAATTAATAATTTCTTTGAAGAATCTACAATATATACTGCTCAAAAATGAATAGGGATATTTCTATTTGATTTGTATTAATTAAAATACTTTTTTTAATTTGTTAGGGTTTTTCTAATTTGTTGATAAACATAAAAAGTATTCATTATTTTTAATATCATTAACTAAAGCATAGACAATATGAAGAATCTTCATTGTGTAAACCATAAGTTAAGTTAAATTAAGGGATTAAAGTTTTGGAATTTTCTCAATTTTAGTCCAGTTTAACAATAGAAAGACATCATCTTGAAACAGAAATTCGTAATATTATTGTGAGAATAACTGGTCAAGGGCACCGTCAGGCAAGTGGGTATCGCTGATGCGTTGCCCAGATTGTGGTCTCCCGAGCTTTAGCCAGATTCAGAGAACCAGAAGTACCAATGGTCACCTGTTTGTGGATCTCAGCTCATAACGGCAACAAGGGATGAGAGAAATATTGTTATTACTGCAAGAAGCAATCCTTTGTACAGTGCCCAACAGACTCTAAATGAAGTGTATAATATCCTACCAACGTCCAAATCATTTGTGAGAAGTTGGTCAAACATTTTATGCACCTTTAAGATGACCAGCAGCAACAGTGTGTCACCGGCACTCAGGAGATTATGGTGCAGCGAGCGTCTATATGAGGATACAAATTGGAATGCTGTATTTACAGACGAGTCTCATTTCTACATTTATAGTGATCATAGGTGCCAAAGACTCTTCCAAGAACAGGAGATGGGTATATTACCACAGTTTGTGCTTCCTTCAATGCAGTATAGAAGTAGGAGTGTGATGGTATGGACCAGCATCTATTTAGGAGGACAGACTGTACTCCATGTCCTGGAAGGTAATCTCATTACATTTGCACCATAAGAATAATAACAGTGTTACAAATTTATGGGTCGTAGTCTAGCTTAGAAGATTACAAAATACAAACTAATTATCTGCTGATTGTTATTACAATTGTGCAGTTGATTGAATTAAACAGTATACAGACATAAGTAATTTCACATGTTTGTGGAAGATTAAATGTGGAACAAGAGTCGTTTGAAGGAATTTGCAGACGGGGATTGATGTAGAGGTAGGAAGAGAGTTCCAAAAAAAGGTAGCACGAATGACAAAGGATTTGCTGAAGGAAGTAGTACTATAGGTTACAATACTTGCCATTTCATTATTTTTTAAAAACACCTTTTATAAAATTTTCTGAGGTACAATACATCTTATTTGAATTAATTTTCAATGTGTTTTATAATGAAAGTTCTAAAGGAATATAATTCATGCATAACTAACAATGTCCCTATTCATTTTTGAGCAGTTTATATAAAACGGTTGTATAAACACTTTCTCACATCTCAGGAATAAAGAATTTTTATGAATGAGGTATCAAAAGAAAGGAAATTTCAATGGGAAGAGATTGGAACCTTAAAATTGTATTATAACTACAATAAAAATCATTGAAAAAAATCGAAGATTTCAACATTCTGATAGTGTAAGTCGATAGATTGAGACAGAAAGAATTTTGTTTGAATTGAAACCTTCACTAGATCCTGAAGGCCACACTTAGACCTCTATTAAGCTGATAATGAAAAAAATCTGTTTCTTTAAACGAAATTTCAGTTGTGAAAGAGCTATCTAGGAGAAAGTTATACAATAAAAGTTGAGACAACTTTTTTAAAAAAATATATTTTTAAAAACTATACAATGTAATCAAAGAAACTTCCAACCACTGGAACAGATGATCAGAACATAGAATTTTTATCACTTCTTTCTTCCATATCAATCTCGTTTTTTTCTAATTGGAACTTGAGTACTTATTTGTCCAATTTCCCATTTTTAAAAAATCTAAAATAGATTCTAAAAAAGAAATGGTTTTACTTAGGCATAAATAATGAAGCAATTGTGAAAATAATAATTTTTTGTAAACTAATTGTAAGTATTGATGTAATATTTAAAAAAGAAACAATTTAATATTTTTCATTAATAATTGATTATATAGTATTTGTTGAGATGCTTTTATTTTAAATACATTGGTCTTTCTTTTGTTTTATATTTTTTAAATAAAAAAAATTATTTAAATTATAAATAACTTGATACATAAAAATTTGGAACACTTCATTTTTTTTTTTTTAATTCAGTAACCTCTTACTTAACAAAATTATAACATAGTATTGTTATAACAAATTTTCTTATAGGATTATTTATCAGTAGGTAATATAACCAAAATAGAGAAATATTTAAAAAATATATTAACAGAATATACACAAAGTTGTCTGTATAATATAATTTTTGAGATTAATAAAATAAACTGTCATCATCAACAACATCTATTTACACATAAATTAATGGGAATATTATATACTGTTCAATTTTGTATAAAAATTACAAAATGTCAATTAAATTGATCATAGAGAAGGCAGTTTTAATCCCAATATTTAATAAGACCGTCCCAGCCTGCTGTCACTACTTTACTATGTTCGTGCGGATGCCACAGAACACCAATGCACACATGATCATGAGCCTTCCATTTCTTGAAAAGTTTTGTCGTTTTCCAATCCCATACATAAGCTTTTCCATCAGCATCACCTGACACAATATAACTGAAAAGAGAAAAGAATTTATTTAAAACAACCATATAAATATAGTATACATTGTTATATTATTAAAAAAAAGTAATTTACTCGGTATAATATCTGAAAAAGATATAAAAAAGCAGGAAATAACTGAACAGGCAACTATGTGTTGAATGAAGTGATATTTAGAATTAGATTGATAGAAACATTTATTTGTTTATAAAGTACATATCATTTTTTTTTTAACATAAGATTAAACGTTTTATCGACAATGAACTTATTTTCGTCTGTCGGGATATTTAGAATTAACTGAACGCTTTGGATGTTAATGTGAAATATGCTAGATGGATAACATTTAAATATCTTCAGTCCTAATGATGCCTTTATGGGTGAAATGTTGAATGATCAGGCATTTACTGTTATTTGGAAGAACTTAGAATTAGTTTTTATAATAAATATTTTCAAACTGCTGGCAAACATTCATTCCAATTTAAGTAACTTAATCACAAACAAAATAGAAATATTAGGTTATAATTGGAAAAATTCCAACCACACACCCTTACGTCTTTAAAATGTAAGTAAAAAATAAGAATCCCGTCAACATTTTGCTAATTTAGACATCATCGGGGCAGAAAAGAAAACAAACCCAAGATCATATACGGTGATGCCTGAACACTTTATTTTTTTTTTGCTGTCTCAATGATGCCTGATTTGGTGAAACGCTGATGCATTTCTTATTCTTTACCTACAATTTGGATACATAAGGCTGTGAGGTAGGAAATTTTTAACTATAACCTAACCTATAGATATAGATGTAGTAAAAAAACTCACAAAGAAACAGAAATTCAATGTTATATATATATATATAATACATACTTAATATCTATGTTATCACTCGTAATATGGGTGCCACAAAAAATCCAATGGAAAAATTAAACTTTTTGTTAGTTCGGAGTTAATGAGACTAATATTTTTCTTCAGTGTGAACAAAGCTAAGTCAAGCTGGAATAAAAAATATGAGTGGAGTTCATACAACTTTGATGTTTAAGAAGGAAATCGAGGTCACGACAAACTGGTTTAACTTCTATTGAAACAAAAACAAATCAGACTAAAATTTTTTTTTATGAACTTTGAGGAAAAATTAACTTAAATTTACTGACAATAACAGTAAATGTCATGCCAGTAACGTTTGAAATCAACCAAACAATACAGTATACATTAACTTTTTGAATAAAACATAAAATTTTGTAACCTCAGAAAAATACTGTATTTACCTAACTCCCACTACATATGATCAATGCCTTCCACATTTCACAGCCATTATATTGTTAACAATTATTTATATTAATTTAATTATTAAATGTAATTCAATGAAATTAATACTACGCAATTTATACGTTTTCAAACTATAGGCGTGTCAAATAATACATTTCCTGATCTGAAAGTGGAAGTATTTTTTAGAACATAGTGGATAGAATTTTATTAAATTGATACATAATTGATTATCTGTTTACCAATCCTAACTCCCCTCCAAATTTGAGCAAAATTGAATGCACGGTTTTAGAGATATAGATGTGTCAAGAAAAACAAGTTTGCGCATATATATTAGAAAGTAGTTAATGGAATTCATTAAAATTTATTTATTTATAGTAAAAAAAATTATTTTTAACCAATAATTATCTTTTTTCCAACTTAAGGCTAAATCGAACAAGCGTTTCTGAAATCTTGGCATATATAAAAGAATATGCTTGCTTGTGCATAAACAGAATTGCTTGATGGAATTTAATAAAATGGATGCAAATAAAATTGATATCATCTAATCTAAACACCAATCCACACAAATCTCTAAATTTTATGAAAATCAAATAAATGGTAGTAGGAGATATGCCCGTTACATCTACTTGACTGAAGATTGACACCAAACCAAATTTGATCCTTGATGTCTGAAACGTAAAACACGAGTGGAAATTTTCAATTCTGAGCACATAATGTTTTTTGGTACTACTTCACTAGCAGGCCGGGTCGAAACCTCACTTCTTATCTATGTTATCTAACGTCACATCACATAACATCCCTCTTTTTATCCCATCAAACCTTTCAGTTATTACATTATTTATTTTTTAGTTGTTCCCATATTAGTTCACTTATTAAATTAAAAGGTAACAACCTTATTATAAGCAATTAAAGAAAATATAGAAGAGGGAACGACCATTTATTCGGACTGTTGGAAAGGATACAACACCTGACAACTGAAGGAAGCAAACTATGACCATTTCCAAGTGAATCACTGGTATAATTTTGTCGATCCATCAACTGGGGTTCATACTCAACACATAGAATGATTATGGGGCTAAGCTAAGTGGAGAAATAAAATACATAGAGGAACTGCCAGACAACACCTCGATTCATATTTATGCGAATTTTTGTGGCGGCGGGCTCACAAAGAAGCGGACCTGTTTCTCGCTATTTTAAATAGCATAAAACTATTTGTGTACCAAAATAAATAAGACGAAGTGAAAATAAATTGTACATATGTCGTTTATAGTGTTGATATTTTTTCTTTTATATGTACATATGTTCTTTAAATGTTTTATTATTATTTCATTTTGTTCTTTTATATGTACATATCTTCTTTAAGTGTTTTTTTATTATTTCATTAATATATGTGTATTAAAAAAAAAAGTTTTTTTTGTTATTAAATTTGTTTTTGTTTCAGTTTACACTTTAAATAATAAGAATATAATACAATAATACGAAGATAGGAAGTACGAGAAGGCTTATCGGAATTATCAATGTTCAGATTATAAACATTGAAGCTAGTGAACAAGTGCCTTTTTTTTAACCTATCACACGAATACAATGCTTCCTTAACTTCAGTACTGAGGAAGCGAAAAATGGAAATAAATTAAAACTGACTAAATATTAAAATTAATGAAAATAATTCGATAATATTACCTCATATCTGGAGAGAAGTCAAGAGTACAGGCATAACCAGCGACCATATGCCCAGTAAATGTCTTTTTTCTATTCAGTTTGAACCTGTTGAGAGCGGAGAATATCACAATCTTGTTGTCCATGCTTTGGCATGCGAGCCATTTTTGATTAGGTGATGGGGTCACGGCAGGCATTGAGTGCATAGATGGGTCAGCTATATACTTCATGTCAACCGGGATGTCCCTGTACAAGTTAAAAAACAAAACACGAAAATAAATAAAAGTACAAATACAATAGAAAAGATTATTGTAATATAATAAATATCATACAAATAAAGTAATAATAAAAACTAGCTTGCCAGTGAGCTTTATAATTTTACTTTCTAATATTAATCAGTCGCATGATGGAAACATTTAACAAAGTATGAAATGTTAATTTATCCAAAATACTTGACGTTCATTTGGGTTTTAAAACACAAGATGATTACCTTTCGCTAGTCCTATTTAATTTGGTATTAGAACATGCCATTAGAAAGGTGGTACATACCAAAACAGGTTTGGATCTGAGTGGAACAATATCTATGCTCAGGTTTGCAGATGATTTGGTATTGTTAAGCAAAGACATGGAAAATATGAAACTTAATACAAGAACATTGATGAAAGTCGGTGAAGAACTGAGGCTCGAAATAAATAGAAATAAGACAATATATATGATTAGCAGCAAAAATGGTGACAATTTCAGTGATTATGGAGTTTACATTATGAAAGCGAAACTTGGCTACTTATATTAAGGGATGAATAACTTCTTAAGATTTATGAAAATAAAGTGTTGTGTAGAATACTGGACCGTAGAGGGATGAATCAATCAATCAGAGAATTTAGATGATGTTCAAGAATCTATACCTGGACAACAAATAAAAACATATGTTTTAATTAGCTTCCAAATTACTAATTCATTCCTACACAGTCAAGCAACAGAAAAGGTGTGCCACATTTTTACCAGAGACTGTGAACCAAATATGATGTCTTAAAGACCAAGTCAAGCAGCCTGGTGGAGGATGGATCGGAGAAGAGAGGCCAACAATAACATAATCATCGGCAACACCAACTGAATCTACAAAATTTCAATAAAATTCAAACCCTTATTTCCATCTGATGAAATGAAGAGAGGGCATCAACTAAGCAGTTCAAAACACATTGTATTTTTTGTTAACATTTATTCATAATTTAGTTTATTTGAAAATGTATCAAAGTGTACAAATCTTTATTATTTTCTAATCCTTATTTTCAATATAAATGTTATTTTCTTTACAAATATTTAATTTTAGTCAAGTATTCAACGCATAAACAGTCCATTCCAAACTTGAACCAGCTCAAAAATATACTTATGAGATCTATAAGTAATATTTGGTTCTCACTAAATTACCGATATCAAACAGACATTTATAGAAAGGGATGATCAAGTGGGCCTGCAAACTGGCAACCTGATAAACTGGAGATTATGAGTTTAATTCCCAGTGCCGTGGGCTTTTAACTCGGGACATTAGTCCTACAACCTCTCTCCTGGCTGAACAGGAAAAACCCTGTATAGCCAAAAAGGCAAGTTAAGGAAGAAAAACAACAATAATGAAAAAGGAGATGGTGGCCATAAAAAGGCTAAATAGTGGCAAAGATATTTTATTAAAAGCCAACGTTTCAACCCGACTTTGCAGGTCTTCTTCAGGGAGGTGTGTTTAGCTAGGAGTTAGAACTGTGTTCTAAGTGAAAAGTAAAAGTAGAAGTCCGTCGGGTCGAAACGTTGGCTTTTAATAAAATAATTTTGCCACTATTTAGAATTTTTATGACCACCACCCCAGACCAACTCCTTCCTTTATAATGCAACGGTTAAATATTAAATATTCAATAATAAAACAGTAATATAAGGCTGAATTTTTTTTTTTTTTTTTCTGTCACTCCCTACATCTCTATTTCTGCCACATGGAGGCAGGAGAGGAATCGTTTGAGAGGTAAAATCAAAGTTATTCGAACCACAGTGGGGTAAGATTCATTCAGTGGGTCAGTCGCAAAATAAATTACAATCCGTCCAGGCCCAAACTCAAACAAAAAATGGGAGGATTATGTTAAGACTGATCCAGTGTGAATGGATCACAATAGGTGCATGGCAATTAGTACACAGCGAATGGTGGTATTGGCATCGAACCTTCTGGTTCGCTATGCCTTTTATTATTATAAATATTAATTGGAGAAAAAAATAATTATAACTGTAACACACACAATTGTGTTAAACTAAATAAAACAAAAGTAATTATAATATATTTTCATGCTTACCATTCCCAAACACGTAAGCTTTTATCATCAGAAGTGGTGACAAATCTCCTATTTTCATCGACGAAAGTAATAGAATTTACAGCTCCCAAATGGCGGTCATATTCTTGAACTATTTCACCAGACCGTAAGTCCCACTGTAAAATATTAAAAAAAAATCAGCAAAAGTAGACAGAAAATGTTGAAATATATAACTGTGAATAAAGATATAAATTTTGCCACTAGAAAAATCACTGAAATTAATAATAAAGAATGTTGAAATTGGAGTTAGTCATTCTGTATATTTAACCTATAAATTATTATCGATTGTAGGACTATTAGTGATTAAACTGTTATTTTCTGTTGTAAAGTTTACTAAAATGAAGTTAAGAGATTTTCATTGTCTGCCATGGATAGGTTAAAAGTTGTCGTCACACTAATTGTAAGTGGATAATGTTGGGATTTCGCAAAGTGAAAATTCATCAAATTATTGACTAATTTAATTTTCTAAAAGATTACTTGATGATTTTTTGGAATAAACGGCCGATATATACCTAATTATTTAAATTTAATATCATATCTAGAGTTATGGATTTTAAATACTTTTTTTTTTCAAACTTAGAAAAAATTAAAAAGTTTACATTTAGTGAGAAAATTTCATTTAATTTCCTTGAAAACATGTGATTTATGTTAAATAATATTAGTTTTCAAAAATTATTATTTATAATCATTTCGCCACTCTCCGTTATCTTCTACAATATTAAAGACCACTAAATTATGCAATGATACACAGAGTTTAATCAAAATCATTAGAGCCGTTATTAGGAAAATTGTAAAAATGTGTTTTATCGTTGATATAAAGTGACACTTCTGGTAAGCCAATTTTAAGGAAAAAGTTGCTATAACAAACGAGGTAAAAAGAAACCTTAAATAAGAAATTTTGCTTTTGTACGACTTTTCGTTTTTGAGCTAGACTGTTCACATACAAACGCACACACAGAGACCATTTTGCAGGACTTGGTTATTTTGGACTCAGGAGACCTCAAAACATGTATTTCCGTTGAAAACTCAGAGTCGGAAATGTTCATGATCGCAATAGTGTCCCTTACTATATATTTCATATATAGGTAAGTTAAAGTAATATATTTACTTAGATACGGTATACAACCACTGCTAATTTGTGTTTATATTCAGCAAATATGTGATTTTACCCTTCAGGTATACTGTACTGTAAAGTACGGCCGTACTTTCAGTTTTCGCTATTCAAAACTGATAGCAATAGCTCATGTAAAAGAGGATACATGGTATGAAATTTAATTCCAGGCATTTTTATGATGATAAAAAAAAGGTAATTTCACCCCAAAATGATAAATATTTTCACAAGAACCATAGCCGTCATTCTTCACAGGTAATTTTATGTTTTAACTGCGCATCAATTTCTGTAAATGGCTTGTTTGTGGATCTTAATGACAGACGTATATGCCTGCCGTGGTCCCTTAGATAAATCAGTGAGCAGAGGTATATGCCCACTGTGGTCGTAAGGAGGAATAAACAAGCTATAACTTACACATATGATCTTTTTGTCGGATGTTCCAGCAACAAATAAGTTTTGTTTGTCTTCATCAGGATTAAACTTTACGCAATAGGGAATTTTTCTGCTGGTGAATCGTGATATGCATTCTCCAGTTTCTGTATCCCATAATTTTATGTAGCGGTCGTAAGCTGTAAAAATAATGATCATTAAAGTAAGATAGTAAAATTCTATTTACTATAAAAAATATAAAAAGTAATTATGAGATATTGATTGAATGTTACTATTTATTCAAAAAACTTCTTTTTGTTTCCTCCAATATTCCGATGCATCAACCATTTTTTAATTAAACTGTTGAATAACATCTGCTTGTGTAACATGGAATGTCTTTTTTTTTATAGAATATTGTAATATTTCTCTTATATTTTTAAATTAGTAATAGAATGACCTAGTGGAAGATCACTTTATACCATTGGGATACTTTCTAAATAAATAAGAAGTTGTTAAATAATAAATAAAATTATAAGAGTATTAATATATTAAATAGAAATTTATAATTATTTTATCGCAGGTATGGATTACTAACAATCATATCAAAAGACTCAGACATAACATTAACTACACTAAACACTATTTGATTTTAAAATAAAGTCAAGTATGGATTGGTAAGCTAACCTCCTTTCTATATATACTAAACACCAACCAATAATACAAGAAGTATCTGAAGTTTGAACGAGCTTACGGCAGAAAGATGGGCTATGAAAGATGTTGTTCAACTTAGCCCTGGAGAAGGTAATAAGAACAACATCATAGAAAAATGGAAAGATGAACATCCACGTCGGAATGAATCATAAAATCCTTGGATATGAAGATGATGAAGACAAAACAAAAGATATGATAAAAAGCCGAAAATTCAACCCCAATAACAGAATCTGCATAGAAAATAATACATGAGAGAAGAAAAATTCAAATACCTCATCCCTACAATAACCTTAATGAATGACCAATGGGCAGAAATAGACCAGCGTATAAGTAGTGCAAACAGAGCTATCTTCTCCCTCTCAAAGGTATTTTAATACCCTCAGTATCAAAGGTATTGAAATCCCAAAAAATCTCATACTAAGGATGTAAAATGCTATGATCAAGACAGTTCTAATATATAGCTGTGAGACCTGGATACTAACTAGCACACTAGAAAGAAGTTTTGAAAGATTTGAGAGAAAAATCCTCCGCACGATAATCGGAGCGATCAGGGATCAGAGTACTAACACAAGGAGAAGAAAGACCAATAAAGAACTACATACAGAAACTGGTCAAACAATATTCAATGATAAGAAGGCATGGAGGTTAAGATGGGCAGGGCATATAGCTCTGCAATCCATCTGGAAGCCTCTAGTTAACAATGAATACCTCAATAGAAGGCAAAAGACAACGTGGAAGGCCAAAAAGCAGATGGATGGATAGAATCAACAAAAATGCAAAGGGAAAGAAACAGCCCAAGACAGGCAGAGATGGAGCAGGCTTGTTAAGGTGGCAAAAGATCTAATGGTCTGTAATGCCAACAGAAAAAAAAAAATCCTTGACCAATTCATGATAAATACTATTCTCAATTTACAACATCCCGCTAACCATCGTATATACATACATACACAGTACAGTTAGATTAAGTGCTACCCAGTCTCTATTTTGATAGCTTTTTTTTTTTTTTTTTTTTTTTTTTTGCAGAAATATTTACAATAAGCATTTCGGTTTTATACTAGCATTTATTAACCATGTACAATTTAAATAGTAGGAAATTTCAAACTTCATCTGTTATAAGAATATCAATTATTGCCATTAAATTTTACTATCAACCTATTATGTAATTCCTCAGTAATACAATAATTATTCGTTTTTCTCATATCAAAATTACTCATGGCAGGAATTTTACTATTTCCCAAAATAGAGAAGAAAATGAAAATGGAAAATCTGTTCTAGAGACTAATAAAAGTCTAATAATATTTTATATGAAAAACTTGATAACGTTTTCTTAACTCTGGTATTTATAAAGAGAGTTGTACTTAGTTGTAAAATTCAGTGAAATGATCTTTTAGTGCACAAAAATAATATATAAAATCTTAAAATTTAATATATACTGACATTTGTAACATTTAAAATTAAATAAAATAGTGATCATAAATATTTTTTTCGATAAAAAGCTTTAATTTCAAAATATAATTTTACAATAATCAGATCCAAACATTAGGTAAAGAGGCTGTTTTCTTTTTCTTCTAATTATCATTCCTCCTCCAATCTAACCGACATGCCTAACACATGGTACAGTTATATGCTCTATGCACATAAATGGTTGATGCTCTTTTACAAATCAATAAATTAACACAAAACCAATAAAAAGTCAAATATTTTTGCAATAATCGAGCCTTTCAGTTGACAGAATGGCCAACACAAATTCTAAGATTTTAGTGATATTTCTAGTTAGAAAATTTATATCTGTACCTACAGTGATTAAGTTGACTCCAGATTAGGTAATTGCAGAGTTGAAATATAGAACTGTGAATAAAGGTATAAATTTTCCCACTAGAAATATTACTAATATTAATAATAAAAAATCTTTAAATTGGAGTTAGTCATTCTGTCAACTGAAAGGATCAATTAATCTTGATATGATAACCATAGAATTCATTAATTGAGCATTACAATCTTTTAATTTACTCCTCCTTTCAATTTTTAATAAAATATATATTTCCACAATTTTGAAAGAATTTACAATAAAAAATTTAAATCTAGGCCAAACTTCGATATAATCTTAGTAATAACTTTGATTTCTATGTTATAACAATTCATAAAATAAAACTTACCAGCTGATAGGAATTTTGTTCCTCGGTTATTAAAACAAACATCTCTAACAGCTTGCCTGTGTCCATAATAGGTTCTAATACACCGTCTTTCATTATATACCTCCCACAACTGTAAAATATAAAAAAATAACTATAGGTTGAAAAAATATTCATTGTAATAAATATGAAATTAATTAGGTTTTTAATTGAAAAATATTTTTATTAACATAGTATACTTCATATAAATTAAACTCGATCAGCCTACATTATGTTATTGACCATTTAGGCTAACATTTATACCTGCTATTAATCAATTTCCTAAACCCCAAAATTTTAATTATTGTTGCTCTTTATAAGATATAAATATGTAATACATATTTATTTATTCAAAAAATTATAATTTGAAATGAGTTTTTAAGAAAATTAAATTGCTATCTGAAACATAATATACTATCAATTAAGAGATAATTATGAAATAATAGAGATATGAGTGTTTATGTGGTAAATAGCAGTTTAAACCACATTAAGCCTAGCTTGCATAGATTAACTACTTAAAAAATGGGTACTGCAAATTATATATTTAAATTACTGATTAAAATAATAAACAATAAAACTACCCAGGTTATTATTTGTAATATAGGATTCTTAATCAGATAAAAAAAAAAAAATTATAATTTTACCTTGACACGACAATCCATACTGCAAGAGAGAAGAAGATGAGCATATTTGGGGAACCAACGGATAGCAGAAATACCTTTTGTGTGTCCTTTCCAAACATGTATTTCTGACTTCGGGATAAAACATTTGTCCGGAGGAGAATCAGACTTAAGGTTGACTCCAACATCCTGAGGAGGATGTAAGAAGTTGCGGCCTTGGTAATCAACTGGATCTTTGACTGTGAAAAAATAGAAAGACAATTAATAAAACATATTCATCAAACATTCAATTACAATATCCTAAGGTAATTTAAGAATCCTGAAAAATATATATTAAAAAAAAAAGCTGATGTCATAATCTAAAAAGAAACAATAATGATTTGTTATTAAATTACTACCACTAGTATTCGCTCAGTGGTCGAAATTGAACATAAATGAATTTGCATGTCTCCAACATTTTATTTTCTACTCTTATATATTTTTATGTTCACTTTTATATGTACTTACAAAAGAAAACTGTGCAGTGCCATTTGTTTACTTATTCAGTTACAGGCAAATAAAAATTTGAATCCATCGTATCGTGACTTTTCAAAAACATTTTTGAACCCACCTTTGCCACTCAATGAAAATTTGAGGCAAACATTTTTTATTTTTTGATTACTAAGAAAATTCGTATTTGAGGATTTTTACAGCTGCGAAATACCAATACCAATTTTGTTTCTCCTTCAAAAATATTTGAAACCACTTTGCTCCTTCAGTCGGTATTAATGATTTCATTTCAATAAAAAGCTCTACTAAAATATAAAAACCGAAGAAAATGTAAGATTAAAAAATGCAACAAAATATCTTATCAAGTTTTTCAGCCACCATTTCTAAATGAAAAGCTGTATAAAAACACTCCTGAATTTGTTTGCAACGTCGTATCAAAATTTCAAAGAGTCCAGTGAAGCACTTTCGGAGATCAGCTGTTTTGAACAAATTAACATTTACATTCTTATTTATATACACTATTTAATATTTCTATTTATTGATAACAATAAAGCTCGTCAATAGCTACTAAACAAAAAAAGAAAATCGGTTGAGAAACAAAGGAGAAAAAGGGACTAAACAGTTTTGCCTTTGTCTATTCATATAATGATTTATCGAACAAAACAAATTTGAGCGAAATTAATAAAATGATAAATAAAAGCTCGGTGAATGACTTTTACAACTATCATAAGGTTCATTCCATCAAGGCTAATATTTGAATAAGTGGCTCTATTGAAGATGTCTAAGATTCTATCAAAATATATGCATAATATACCGCTGACCCTTCGACATTAGCCTCTAGGAAGGAGAACTAAATATTAATGCAGATTCAACCTGCAATGTTCAACGTGTTGAACTTGGTCACTACTTGGTGAGAGGTTAATCTGGTCAAGAGGATGTAACTTTAAGGCTTAGATATCAGCCTGAATTTCAAGTTGTCATTTCAAAAATTCAGCCAGCTATAAGCCATTAAAAAAAAATACTACGGTGTGTCTTTTAGTCCACACGATAGAAGTGAAATGATTTTTTGGCCTTATCGTTTTCCCTTTCTGACTCTCTGACTCGGTGTCACGTCAAAATACAATTTTGATTTACAGCTAATTACAAAGAGAATGAAATGCTGAACATTTCCCTAGCTTACAGTATGCAGATCCAATTTTTAGTTTTTGAAATATTTTAATCCATATCTTCAATAAACCTTATTATCAGCTAGTTTTTGACATTATTTTTCCCTTTTCATTTCTCTAACACGGTGTTGTGTTGTTACAATTTTGAATAATAACTCATTAAAAAGAGGGTGAAATGCTGAACATTTCCTTTACTAACAGTATGCAAGTCCGATTTTTAGTTTCTGAGATATTTTAATCCACAATGCAAAAACACTTCACTTAGTTGACTAGAGCCGACTTAACCTGAATGAGCGTTACACACCCGAGACCGTGGACTCAGTTTCATTCACTCTCCAAAAAAAAAAGAGCGAAATGAGCTCAAACAATTTTTCACTTAAAAAATAATGATGAAAAATAAACTCCAAAAACCAAGTTTTTTGATCATTTCCAAACATTTGGGTTATTTTGTGATTTTTAATTTGATACTTCAACAATTCATCATGGCTGTACTATTTCTACAAAAATAATCCATAAAAATAAAGCTTACTGTGAAGGACTGTCTTTTCCTCCAGAGGTTTGTCTTCAACTTTTTTACCAAGCTTTTGCCTCTTAGCAAGATATTCTTCAAGTTCAGCAGCAACTTCCTACAAATAAATTACAATAAAATATCATCCATTACTAATATTCCATAAACATTACTTTAGAAGCGTGGTTATAAACCAATCTTTATACATCTTGATAAATTCTAACATTAATAAGAAATTTTTAAATATAAAGATATTTTGAAAAAAATATATTTCAACTAAATATGAAGTAGTCAAATAATTTATAATAATACAAATCGAAAGTACTTACAGGGTCAGGTTTAACTACTTTTTTCTCATCCACGTAGGACCCCCATGGGCCAAGGAAACCATTGATATCAGCCGGATCATCGTTTTTATTTCTTTTCCGTTTGTCAAGAGGTCGTTTTGAAGTAGATTCAAAAACTGTCTTCAGGTTAGTTTCTTTTGCAACATCTACAGCTCCGACGACAGGTATACTATCTTCAGTGCGACCCATATTATCAATTGAAGGGTCAAGAGCATAACCTAAGAAAATACATGATAAATTAAACTAAAAAAATAATCAATATTATATATATATATATATATATATATATATATATATATATATATATATCTCTTTGATTCTAATCTATTGGAGGGTAAGCGAATAAGGATAGCAAAAAATTAGTTTAATATTGACTTAAATTCAATGTTATTATACACAAGGAAGTATCCCAAGCAAACTAAATAGGATTATGATTTTTATTTTACTTTCTGATCCTTGCCTTGAATAAAGATATAGTAATTTAAAATACAAGTTGACATTTAATTGTATTCTACTTGCAATAAAGACGTTTAAACTGAAAATTGGTGTTGATGTCCGGGGGGTTTTATGCCGATAAACAGCAACAAAGAAACTAAAAATTAAACAAAATTTATACTAAATTATTATGATGCATGAAATAAAGAAAATGGAGGCGAAAATAATGAAGAAGGATTTTTTTGTTTCTTTAATTTAACTTATTTCAGTTACATTTTCAAAGTAAAATGTACCAAAGAATATCAATAATAGATAATATCCATTCATAAATGTTAAAGACTAAAGGTAATACTTATTTAACAATAATAAATAAGGGATTATTGTTATAAAGAGGGATTATTGTTATAGATTATTATTATTATAGAGAACCGAAGAAACCCGAGCTTGGCTGAAAGGATAGGTTTCCATAGGATTTTATCAACTGGTTTTCGAAACTATTTTTCTCTTTTCATTTCTCTAACACAGCGTTGTGTTGTTGCAATTTTGTTTCTGACCAACTAAAATGATGACTTCTTGTACTATTTCAAATTATTAACTCGTGTTTAGTATATATCTCAGGTCACAGGAAATAACTCGATAAGTAGAAAAATTTTACTTCCTTCTGCATACCAAAAAAATAAATAAATAAATAAAATGTAATTCACTCCTCTAAATATTTTGTAGAAATAGATTAAAACCATGGAGTTACCATCTTCTTTATGGAGTTTAAAAGGCTTGAAAAATTACCAAAATTCACATAACTTATAAGGACCATTTTTTTATTTGTTATTCCCTGTGACTAAAGAATGTAATATCTTTAGTCACAAGGAATAACTAGACGGATTCTAACTAGACGGAAACAAACATAATTTTAGAATTTCTTAATTTATCAATACAAAAACATAGTAAATGCATCAAAATGATGCAAACCCTTTCATATACCAAATATTGTTGTATTAAGTGCATAATGTTCTGATTTGAGGAAGAGAAAATTTATTATGATTATATTTTAACAAATATTAGTTAATGACTTTCTGCAACCAATGTGATATTGGAACACCTGTCAAAACTAAATGGAACTCCAGTGGTGGAATAGTTGAAGTGTTTTGAATTTGTGCTCCATAGGGACGCTCATATAAGTTCAGGGTTTGGATTTAACTAGACGATAACACACTTCCCCATATTGAGCTAAATTTAAATCACAAACAATAGATTTTTCAAAAAAGGAAATACAATCTGAGAAATCCAGCTAGTGTTATGTATATGTATATATCTAGTAGTGCATAATAATGTATCTAGGGATTTAACTTTTACTCCTAAGGGTATACTCACCATAACTTTGGAAAGTCTTTCGCTGATTTTCAAACTGAAATTCGCTCATGTGAGCTGCTTCAACATAACCTGAAAGTATGTTTTTAGGAGCTTTTTGCTGATCTGTCAAAAAAGGATTTTCAGGACCAACATCAGCAGCAAAGAGTTCTTCATACTTAAGATTCACTGTCATTTCAGTGCAACCAGGTTTAATGAATTTAAGAGGATTGTACTCAACCTAAAATAAATTTCAGAACTATTAGTTTCATTAATCAAATTATTTAAAACCATATATGGGATTAATCATAATCAATGTTTACGATTATAGTGATTACACGATTACAATTGTAATTAGATTTCCCATTACAATTGTAATCAATAAATCATGTCACATTTTTGCTATATTTGTACTGCAAAGTTTTAATCATGTAATCATTGATTCTGATTTTTCCCAACTCTGTTTAAAACTAATTGAACTACCTCTTCTATACTGGCTTACGAGAATATAAATAAAGAATGTTTTAAAATTGATGTGCAATTGCACAATTTCTAATCCAACAGTATTTTAATAAAAAGCGCCCCCGACAACATAATAGTGGAACCTTATATCGAAGAAATTCAAAAGGTTACAAATATTTGATGCACAATCTTAAATCCGACAGTATCATAAAAAGCGTTCTGGAGAACATAAGAGAGAATCCTTATATTGAAGAATTGCTAGAAGGTAAATAAACAGTACTTTCATAAAAAGCATCACTCACAAGATAAGAGTGGATCCTTATATAGAAGATATCTGAAAATTTATTTGAATCAAATTTTTATCTTAGATAACAAATAATAGATGATTCAGACTTTCTGTAAATAATGAATAACGGATAAATTGTCTGTTGCAAGCTATCAAAAAACAGATAAAAATTAATTTATTATTTAGATAAGTATTTATTCCAATAATGTCCAACCTTAACAGGAAAGTTTTTATCTATTACTATTTCTTTTCCACAGCTTTATAATATATTTGCAACTTAAATTAATTTTTTAATAATAATTATTAATAAACATCACGTTAACTAAATGTCGAATGTAAGTTGTATAACTGTACATGGTTAAGAGTATACAATTAGTTTAACAGTGGGAAAATTATTTATAACTAACTACTACTGATTAATAACTAATCAGTCGCCTTCGTACTCTTTCGAATAAAACAGAATGCATCTGGCACTCCACGAACAAGTATAACTGTGAACCATGCGTCACCTATGCGTAACTCCTGTGAAGTAGTACCATAATTTGTCAATATTATATTTCAAAGAAAAAAGCTGAACCGATTGCTGGTTAGGTAATGTGCAGTCCCAGCTAAAAATTATGAAAAAACTTATATCAGTTATACAACAAATGAAACACACATACGTCAAGAAATTGAATTTTAATGGAAAAAACAGCTCTGAGGCTGGGATAAAATCTCAAAACATCAGCGAGATAATATATGAAATATAACATAAACACATTACAATGGAAGTTTTTCATTGCCAACCTTATAACTAAGTATATAAACTTCCCAACTAGAAAAATGAAAAATAAATTTAATAGCAACTAAGACATTGAGAGTATAATTTACAGGTGGTAAAGCTGTTGGAGCAGGACAAATAGCTGTTTGTATAATAGATGATTCAGAAAGAGGTTTTAAATGTAGTAAAGCTTCATCGTTAATATTTTGTTTTTCTTCATCTTCCTTATCGCTGTCACTTTCTCCATACTGCTGAAGAGCTAACATTTTTCAATTCACTACACACAGATCTAAATTTCAAGTTCTGATAAAAGACACAACCGAAATTTGTATCAAAACAAACACTCCAACCTGGAGAATATAACCTCGCCCCAATTAGCCAACCTAGAGTAATGGTAAAATAAATTCAGGAAAAAATTGTTTCGCTATATTAACTAATTATAAATTAGATATTTTTTAAAAAGTTTAAATGATATAATAAACCAAGATTTCATTCAATATTTGAATACATTTTGCCAGTTGGATGATGGGTGTATATCGATTAATGCAAAAGAAACGATCTACCGTAGACTAGAGAAGGGATAGGGTAGGAAGTAGACAGCTAGCGAGCTGTACAGCTGTCAGTTGTAAATAAAGGCCGTATTACATGTAAACTAGCTTTTTAGGAGTATTTTAGTGTTGAGTAACGATTGTAATTATTTTTGTACATAGTATAAGAAACGTCAAGTCCTACAATGACAAATAAATTTGAAGCGTGAGTGTACAAAGTTTTAACGATTCTATCCTCATGTCAGTTATTCTAACATTTAATGAAAGGCCCCTTTTCAGTGTTAATAAGTTTAGTTGTATCTTGGTTGTCATTTTTTGATTTTTATATTTTTCAGCCTTAAAAATAGTGATGACAGTGGTGAAGATGAGCATGGGTCTAAAGACATTAAAAGTGCTGATTTGATATCTTCAGTATGTATTTTTCTTACTTCTTTTTTATTCTGTTACTTTGTTTATTTACTTTTTTTTAACATATATTTTCATGATGAACTTATGCTTTTTTTTTTTCTTTTTTTCTTAGGTGCCTTTAGAAATACCACCAGGAGACCATAAGCTTCAATACTGTTACTGGTTGTGGTATAGTCGCCGGTCTCCTGGTAAACAATCTCTTCATTCTTTCGACCAGAATCTTAAACTGATAGGCACGTTTGGATCTGTGGAACAGTTCTGGGCAATAAATAGTCATTTAGCTCGACCGTCTGATCTTCAAAGTCATAGTGATTTTCATCTCTTCAAAGTTGGCATTAAACCAATGTGGGAGGTAAACTTTTTTATATTCATATACATTAATAAATATCTTCATGAAATAATTATGATTTATTTAATATTATGTATGTATCTACCTCAGGATGAAGCTAATCAAAGAGGAGGAAAATGGATAGTAAGACTGAGGAAGGGACTGGCCTCCCGATGTTGGGAAAATCTCGTCTTAGCCATGCTCGGAGAGCAATTTATGGTTGGACAGGAAATATGTGGTGCTGTGGTATCTATTAGATTTCAGGTAATTCACTTTTTAAAATAATTGAATTTATAAAATTAGAAGATGTTTCAGATGGTGATCAAGAAAAATATATGAAATGAGGAAGCAATGTATTTCCACTCTTATATATATTTTTCTTGACTGTCACTCAGTCCATCATCTTGATTTACCATCAGGTCAACTATCAGTATGCGGTGCAATTTATTAATCACAAAGGATGGATTATGTTAAATATTTTATTTGAAATAAATGTAGTTGTGCTGTCTTTATGATCAGAATTTAATTTTTTACCTATCATCATAGGACAGCTTATAATTAGTTGATTCTTGAGTTACCATGGGGTTCCATTCATTGGCCTTCATCATAAGGCGAATTGGTCTTGAGTCCAATGGTCTGACAAAACAAATCAAACTTTTATTTACTTGGTAAAGAGTGCAGCTCTGTTTTCAAAATGTTTCATTGAGTTGTTCTAATTCTTCAATTTTTTTCTTTGTTCACAATAAACTCTTTATTAGTGAAATTTTCAATATTATCTTTCAAATGTTGATTTATATCCACAACTTTTCAACCCAATAAGAACGTTAACATCATCTTTAACCCTTTATAGTGCATCATTCTATTTTATAGAGCAGTATATACTATTTGAAATATAAAAAGATTTTATTATTATTATGTAGTATAGCCATAGTGAAGTGCTTGACATATCAACCAGTGTGCATTTAGGGATAATGATAGGTCTTATTTTCTATGGTTTCTTAATCAGTTTTTTTTCATTGGAACATGCTATTTAGGATATAATTAAAAATTAAATTACTTGTAATTACAATTGTTTTATTGTGTATCATTTGTACTGACATAGCTGATAGCAATTAGTAGGCACATTTCATTTGATTTCACCTTATCTACTTCTTGAATACTTGGGCACTAAGACTGAAATGGCATCAATTATTATGGTTGAATAAAAACAAAATAAGTCGAAGATCATAGTCCATTTTTTCAAAATTCCTTCTTCAATGTGAGGGTAGTTAGTGTAGAAAAAGATACCTTTCTTGTTCCCTAAACTCTCACTACAATTTATATTTAACTGATAGGAAATGTTATTGTGTTGTTATTATTATTATCTATATACTTCTAAAATATAAGGAAATGGAATTTCTTAGTTCAAATTATTTTGTGAATATTTAGAGATGGACTGAAAGCTTATGAAATTTTTTATTTTGAGATGGACTGAAAGCTTATGAAATTTTTTATTTTTTTATCGTGAATGTTCATTTCTCCACTCCATTCTAATGATAGTATCAGTAATATAATAAGTAGGTAAAGGAGGTGACGAGTCTGTTTGAATTTACTATAAAGGTATTGTTTTATAATTATGTGTGGGTGACCCTATAAATATTTAATGTTTATTTAGTAAAATTTCACTTTACAAGTTTTAGAAAATGTGACATATCTGGAAAACAAGAAATCTGTAGGAAAGTTTGATATTTGTTGCAACTATAACTGTGTTATATATATTGATTTGTTGGTGTTCATATATAGTATTTGTATGATACATATGAACCTATATATATATATATATATATCATACTATGTTTTAAATAATATGATAGTTATTGACAAATCTAATTTACTTACATATAAAATTCACATTATAAAGTTCTGACTTGTTATATTAAACAAATTCTGTAACTAAACGCCACAATCTGACAGGTATTGTGAATTTGAATAAATTACTCTATATAATTCACATTGTGAAATTTCTGCCTATCCAATTTAGCAACTATCAAACAAATTCTATGTATGAACACCTACAAATCAATATATATGAGAGCACTTACAGTTGATAAGCATGCCACAGCAAATGTCGTACTTTCCTAAAGTTTTATTGTTTTCCAGAACTGCCACTCTTTCTTTCTAAAACTTGTGAAGTGAAATATCACTAAATATTTATTGAGTCACCTATAGATAATTATAACATAATAATGTTATTGTAATTTCAAACATTCTCGTCACCTCCTTTACTGATAAGTAGGTTCAAGTGAAGTGAATAAAATGAAAGTTCGCGATAACGTTTTGTTTTTTAGCTTTTAGCTTACCTCTAAATATTCGGAAAATAGTTTGAACAAAGAAATTCCATTTCCTTATATTTTATATTATAGAAGTATAAAAAGATTAATAATAACAACATTTCCTGTCAGTTAAATATAAGTTGCAGTGAGCGAGTTTAGGAAATAAGGAAGGTACCGTTTATCTCCACCAACTGTCCTCACATTGAAGAAAGAAGCTTTAAGGAATGGACTTTCATCTCAGGCAGTAAGGGATAAGGGAAGGAATAGAAAAGTATAAGGAAAAAGTATGCATATCATACTTTTTAAAAGAGACTCAACAAATAATATAATAATGGTCATAATATTAACTGCTTATGATGTAATGTGTACCTGCAACCTTCCGTCATCTTGAGCGGTGACATATACCATCAGTTGGTGGACTTAAATAAAGTAAACACAGTTTCTATATATTTTAAAAAACAGAGAAGGATGATATGGTCAGTAAATCGACCAGTGTCCTATAAAGAGTTAAGATCCTTGCTTGTTTTTGAATGCATATCTGTGTAGTAATTTTTTTTCTTCCAATTTTTATCTATGTTAAAAATTAGGTTCAGCAAATAATTAATTTCTTCAAACATCACATTCGAACCATCTTTAAGTGTCTTGGCAACTTTCATATTTATGAGGCCTCTTATTCCTTCTTTTCTTTGCTGATAAAACCTTGCCTTAGATGCAGTAGGTTGATACATTTTGGACACAATCATACTCATTCATATTCTTCTTCTTCAATGGAAGCTACAGTCCTTGAAGGACCTGGGTCTCTGCCAGTACATTTCTATATTCCTCAAGTCTTCTTCCAGATCATCCAGTGATCGGTGCCTGGGCATGCCTCTTATCTTTTTCCTCTTGTACCGCTCAGCATTATTCTTCTAGAGGAATCTACAGAGATCCATTCTTTCAATGTGACCCAGCCAGCTAAGTCTGCTGTTCTTAATAACACCGAGAACATCTGGCACTTATTCATATTAATCTATCTAATTCCTGGAGCGACACTGCAGACCATTTTAGAACTCCGAAGCTGTAAGGTATGGCTGGTTTAACCCAAACCTGATGAGAGTAGAGTCAGCTGGAGCTGAAACCTCATGTGGTCAGAAGTGGGCCTGGCTCCAAACAGCTTTTATTTTTAATTTTCTAAAAATTAAAAAAATAACATTACATGTATCATGTAATAATTACATAATATCATTACATAGTCTTTTCTCTGCATACATTATATAGCAATGAGGTTGAGTTATATTGTGAATTTGATTTTTAAAGGAAACCTAGGAAAATTTGTTCCTGGAGCCTTTTGTTTCTCTCTATGTTCTTGGTATTGTTCACATAGAAATAGATTTTATCATCGATTATGAGTGTAGGTATGTTGTTAGGACAATATTCATTTTTTTTTTTTTTACATCCTTACTTGCTATATTAACGCTTCTGCTTTAAGTTTGTTCAATACACAGTTCTTCTTTGAGCATGTTTTCAAGAATTAGTTGGTTTCCGTTTTGTCATATTATTAATTTTTAGACGGTTGATGTAAAATATGTTATGACTGGTCAGTATAAATTTGATTTTATCTTTTTCTTTTATTACTGCAATTTTGACCCATCTAAAGGCATAATTAATTAAAGAAATTCTACATTATTGTTTTCTATTTTATTTTCCTCAGGAGGACATTATTTGTGTGTGGAACAAGACAGCTTCTGACCAAGCGACAACAAGCCGGATCAGGGACACTATGAGGAGGGTTCTCAACCTCCCTCCGAATACAGTATTAGAATATAAAACACACAACGACAGTCTCAAGTATGAAAATATCTCTTTGTATATACCTTTAAAAATTAAACTAACAGAAAGCGTTATGAATGGGAGTTAGATTTTTTTATTGAGTAACCTTAAAGAATTTAAATTAAATTTTTTAAATTTTATTATTTTATCATTTACTATTTTGAATTATTAAAAAAAAAAATCATAATAAGAAGCTTGATTTTATGTTTTCTTTGCTTTTCATTTTAGATAATTTATTTTGTTTTTAATTTTTCTTCCTATTATTAACGTCTTCTTGGTTTATTTTTTTATTTCATTTTATATACAATAACTATTTCTGCATATGAAGTAGATATTAAATAAATTTTTCTGTATTCTGAGTAAATAATTAGTTGTTTCTTTTATGCCTAATATATATATGATAAAATTTTTACATGTTGTTCTATGATGTACTTGTAGCCTGATAGAGTAGCCATGTGGAAGATGTACAAAATTGTATTAACAAATTTACTAATATTCCTACTCTTCATTTTGTTTTACCTGTTTCGGTTCGATGTGACTTGCTTTCTGTTATATGTTTCCTAATTTATTTCTATATTTACTGTTGTCAATTAAGGAACATAATTCTGTTAATAAACTGGTTTGTCAGTTTTCATCTGTTAGGTTGCAAAATACGAAAACCATAGAAATTTTAAATTGCCCTACAAGTAATTTTAAATTTTGTTTTATAAAAGTTATGAATTTTAACAAACATAACCCAACAACTTGAAAAAATATCTGTTTGCATGTTTGGCAATAATTTTTACCTTCTGAAAGTTTTCAATGGGCTCAATATAGTTTTGGTTCTTGGTTACAATTTATTTTCTAAACCAAACAAACGTGGTGCTACTAAAAAAGATAGGATTAGAATAATATATTATATTATTAGCTATTTTTTCGAAGGGTGTTAATGTATATATTAACATGTGAAATTTCATTAAGAAATATCAGATCCGTTGTCAGAATTCATATTCTTTATTTTAATGGATGTTTCGAACCCACTTTGTCCATTTTAAAGTATGTAAACGTTATCCATTAAAATATTAAAGAATGTAAACTCCGAAGAGTCTGAGAGTTTATTCTAAAATTTCAATATTGATAGAAATGGTTGAGGTTTAGAAAAAAATTAATCCCCTAGATCTTTTGTATCACTCATCGAAGTTGCATGAAGGCTTGGACAAAAAATGTAGTAAATAATAATTAATTTAAAAAAGAAAATATTTTTAAAAGTATTATATTTTTAGAGATGGCTAAATAGTTGACTAATCACTTATAAGGATGAAACGAAATTGTCGGGAATGTCACAATAATATTTATTGGGTTAGTTGACGTTTTGATCCGAACATGTATTTTTGTCACAGTGTTCTTGGCAGTTCTTGTCTCGACATGCGAACAATAGCCCTGATGATGACCCTCATGTTTGGATCAAAACGTTGGCTAAATCAATAAATATTATTGTGAATGAAATTCCTGGTAATTGTTGACAATTGTTTCATCCTTATTATATTTTTATTCATAATATATTAATCATGGGATAGTTATTAAATTCTCTGTACTTCTTGTTTGTGAAATATGAAAATTGTAGATATTAATCTGGATTAATAAAGGAGCCCAAATATTATAATAAAATAACTTACCTTATGTTACAAATAACTTTTAGAAATTAAAGACTATATACATATATATATTTTTTTTTTGTGTGTGTGTGTGTGTGTGTGTAAACTAACCTAATATTGAAAACTGTAGTTTACACCATCTATTCTGTTACATCAGTTGTGGACCAACTCTGATGTCCGGAGGCCCTCTTGGGGCACATCCAGCCCATTATAGAGTGGCTGCCCTTAATTGGGAGAAAACTAAGTGATTGAGCGTGATCATGTGAGCTGAATCATTCACCTCTTTGTACAATTATTGACCTAGAAACTGTTTAGTAGCAACCTGCTTAATTTAAACAGTTTCTTTTATTAAACAGATATAAGGATTACCTTCCATTAGGAAGGGGTAGATTCTTACTATCAATGCTGAACTCATCGATGACATTGTATAGATCTTTAAACTGATGAACTCAGTGGTGAGAGTTTATGACCTTACCAAGCCATCTCACAGAACAGGTTTAGTTGGTGGAGACAGCAATACCGACGGGAAAAGAGGGAGACAATGAATCTGTTTAATTAAACAGCTTCTTGCAACAGATACCTAAATAGTTTCCTGAAACAGATACAGAAAGCTGTTTAATTTAAACAGCTTCCTGCAATATATACAGAAACAGTCTTCTGAAACAGATACAGCTTACTGTATTTTCAACTGTTTTGATAGTTGTTTCAATGAAACACCGGGCATTGCACTGTTGCAATTTATAAAGAGCTATGCATTTTCTGTTCATCAATGAACAGTTTCATTAACTCATTTTCCTATCTAATTTCAAGAACTATTTTCTCGTTATTTTCAAGAATAAATTTACTTATTATCTTTAAAATATGTTATGATATGGGATTAATTTAACATTTAAATCGATTATTACTTTTGAGATAAAAATTATATTCATATCTTTTAAAATAGTGTAAAGGTAACAGAAGACAATATATATATATTTTTTACTTGTCAAGTTTTCAAACACTTATATCTGTTTTTTTTTAAAGTAGCAGAAACTGTTGCAACTGCTACTCATGATAAACAATTTTGCCTATCGCTACTAGAAACTGTACTCATTTACAGCGTACAGAATCCAAGGCCCTTCGTGAGTTGGAGTCCTACATATACAGTCATCATCGTAGAAATTGCATCACCCAGTAAAAATTTTATTAAATTTCATTTTATTCACTAGATTGTTATCTGAAAGATCTACGGATATATCTTAGCCAGTTTTGAAACGATATTCTAAAAACAATCGCACAATTAAGCGGTCAAATTGTTTGTTTATTTTTTCTCCTTCCAGTTTTTTTCTTTATTTTTTTCTCAAAACTATGGCTACCGTTGATTGGTTGTACCCTATTATCGTTAATATTTCCTGTGAAAATATCTTTACTTCATGTAACGTCACAATTTTAATATTTTTTGACAAGGACAGTTTTTGATGCAGGTCATATGTTACAGCTTTTATCCTGACATTAGTTAAAACTGAACTGAGAAACATTGTTAAAGGTTTCTTGTAACCTTAATAAAGAAAGATAAACAAAAACATTCAATGAATTAACGTTATCAACATAAGAATCAAAAGAAATAGGTGATGCAATTTCTATGATTGCAGAATATATACATATATTTTGTATATGTTAACGATTTAAAAAAAAAGCTGCAAATTACATTAGCCAAGTTTATTTTTATAGGTGCTGACATAAATTTGGCTAATACTACATATTAACTAACTTTAGTTTTAACAGTAATTAGCATTGCTTTATTATATTAACAAATTTTTATAATTTTATTTTTTCATTAATTGAATAGCTAATATATTCTGACTTGATAAACAAAAATTATTATGTTTTTTAGTTAAATTTAATGTGTAATTTATATCTGATTAAATAATTTGAACTTCATCACTGTCCCAAGACTACAATTCTTAACCAAATGATATTATTAATAGCAAGAGTATATTTTTGTTTTTATTTAATGTTTGAACTTTCATTGTTATGCACTTTAAATTTTAAGCTTTGGCATTCTACGTACAAGGGGATCATGTGATATTGGCCTACATACCATCTAACCGTGACATAGTTTTACTCAAATCAAAAAGTTTGACGTCTTGATTTCTGATTTATTTAAAACCGACAGATGTAAATCATAGTAATAAATATAAATGTAGACATTTAAAATTAACTTATTGAAATTCAGTTTTATTTTCCATTAGTTGATTTGATTTATTGACTTGAATAATTTAATCTATTGAAACATTATCATAAAGTCAATACTTAAAACAGTAAATGTTTATGAATATTTATAACACTTATAATTTTCTTCTCTGGGCCATTAAATATTCAGCTTAGATATCTCAGATTCTTTTTCATTTTTTATTTTTTTTTAATTTAATTTTAAGTCATCTATTTTAATGTTTGGTGTATTTTTCTTTATGTGGAAGAATTTGCTGTGTGGTGTTCTCTCCTCTCTTCTTATAAACACTCGTAAAGAAAAGGAATTGGGTAGCTTCACTTTTCTTAGACTGTGAGAAGGGATTTGTTTCCACCATTTTTTATTTTTATTACTTTTCCACGGTTCTACTGTTATATTAAATGTGGAGAATTATTCCAAACAGAGATTTTGTCCGTTGAAACATATTTCTGAGATCGGATTTTAGTCCAGCCACTTGTGTTGAAATTCATTTCGTAGTTGTCTCATGTAATTAATCTCGACCTGCTAACACTGGTTGGAAGATATTGGTAACTTGTGCAACCTGAGCTTTGTACTCTACTCGTAATGGATGATGTTAAACCTAAATAAACCAAAAACATATTAGCTCTTTTTTGCTATGTTAATTTTTTTTTTTAATGAATTATAACATTGTCTATTCATATTATTTGTTGGAATTTGCTGTCTCCTTATTTTTTATTTTTTTGCGAAAGCTGAGTTGAATGGATGGCATGTACAATAGAATAATAATAATCAAATTTATTCTGGAACAATGTCCTTTAAAAATAACAATGGTCTGAAGATAAATAAAGATTATCTCTGGCTATAAGACCTATTCCGGTAAACAAACAATTAAAAAAGAAAATATATATAAGTACTTACATAGTTATCGTAAATATATTAAATATCAGTAATAGGTAACACAATATTAACTATTGAAAAATCAGATTAAGTAATTAATCTTAAAATAATCTTATCTAGATTAGTAAAACATTAATGAAAAATAATAAAAACTAAATCAATAAAGTAACATCTTAAGAAAGAAAATCATATAATATACACTGCAAAAAACAATACCTACTTTGCGCTCTGTGAAAAGCGATATATTGGTTCATATTATTAAAAAATAATAATAATTAGCTTCTATTTGTGGATTTGATTTACTTTAAACGAAGGGTTTTAAATGTGGGTTGTGGGGAGGGGAGAGTATAAAGGATTTTTTAAGAGGGAGAGAATTCCATAAAGTGGTAAAGTGGACCAAAAAAAGGACCGTTGAAATTTATAATTTTCACGGCCGGAATTTTTTGCTTGCCTATCTAATCTATGAAAAAGATAAAAGCTCCCAATGTCTGCCTAAGTGAATGTAAATGAATTATTCATGTATTTATTGTTTTCTTTTATAAATGTCATTATATATTGTTATTCTACCCTATAATTTACATAAAGAAGCTATGTACTTATAACTTATATAATTAACACAATATGATTTTTTCCCTTTAATTCATGAAAATTTGTTCTGCTTAATAATACAGTACAAGTTATAGAAATATTGAAGAAAACGCTTTCTTTGTATAATCTCATTTATTTACTATTTATTTCATATGTTATTCGGAGCTTTTGGTGCTCTGCTGATATATATATAATCTGAGATATATATGTATGTATATATATATATATATATATATATATATATATATATATATATATATATATATATATATATATCGAATAATACATTATAATTTCTAATCGCCACATAGGATTCTGCAGTTTAGACATATCTCTTTTCAAACTAACTGTACCCACTTAGAATTTTGTTCTTTCTAAAATTGTTTTTTTCAATCATTGCTAGATTGTTATACTTTATGTTAAAAAAAAATTTATCTATTGGTTAAAAAGCAAAAGCTTTTTTGTAATAGAAATTGGCTGAAAGCTCCATGTGACATAAGAAATATAAATAAATGAGATTGTACCATGAAAGGATTTTCTTCTATATTTCAAAATAAAATACACAGTCTTAAATATTATATACAGTTACAGAAATATTTCATTTATTATGTTTTGTCAGGGCAAAATATCTGTCAGCAAACCTCATATTTGTATTCAGCGAACTAAAAAACTGGCTTGTACCAAATTTTACCTGTATAACTTTCATCTATTTTTCCAATATTTTTAGTTTTCGGATATTTGGCCTCTTAGTTAGCACGCTCTTATCTGTTTTAATGGTTCATCGTTGAGAAAAAAGACTAAGTTATACAATGTTAAACATTTTGGCTACTTTAATTTTGTATTGAGTGGTATTCTTGAAATTAGCTGTTGTTTTTGTGGAAAAGGAGAAACAAAAATGTCAACAATTTTTATCTTTATAACTCAAATTTATAAACAAAATTTTACCATTAGAACTATTTTTTATATATAGGCTAGATTCGTATTCAGTTAATAGAGGTTTGACATCTGAAAGTCACCACCAAGATCTGAGTACGCTCAGGTTTATAAATCTAGCTGCTTGGATTGGTATTCTAAGTTTCTTGAAGGTATGCAAAAAAATTGAACTTTCTTCTCCCTTTCAAAAGTATTGAAATTCCGAAAAATCTCAAATTAAGGGTGTACAATGCTATGATATAGCCAGTTCTGGTATATGGTTGTGAGACCTAGACACTAACCAGCACCCTAAAAAAGTGTTGAAAGATTTGAGAGAAAAATCCTCCGCACGATAACCGAAGCAATCTAGGATGTGAGTACTAACACGTGGAGAAGAAAGACCAATAAAGAGCTGCTTACAGAAACTGGTCTGTCAATATCAATATCAATATACATGATATTAATGCACGGAGGTTAAGATGAGCGGGGCATGTAGCTTGTAGCAATCCATCTGGAAGCCTCTACGCAGCAATAAATGCCTCAATAGAAGGCAAAAGACCACTTGGAAGGCCAAAAAGCAGATGGATAGACAGAATCAACAAAGATGCAATTGAGCTGTGTGGAGATGAATAGAAAGAAATAGCCCAAGACAGGCTTGTTAAGGCAGCAAAAGATTTACATGGTCTGAAATGCCAACAGAAAAAAAATTAAATCTTCCTGCTTGGGTAAATTTTTTATTACTTATGTATTCCGCATATATGTTCAATATTTCCTCTTCAGATATATTCTATTTCCTATTGTTTCTAAATATTATCATATATGTCATCCATAATTTTTTTATTATATTTTTTTACTGTCATTCTATTTAGGAACACTCCCAGAATTTACCCCAGGAGAAAGATTTATTTTTTTCGCATACTTTCAAGAAACTATTAAAACAAAAAAGATTTCTTTTATATTGTGATTTATCTAAACAATGGTATTTTAAGCTCTATAAAATACCACTACTAGATGTTTCTTGATTCGAACGGCTCTAGTAGAATACCATCCATGGAGCCTACTTCCACCTGTACTGTTCTTGCAGTATATGTAAAATGTCACCAAAGGGTTAACGAATGTTATTCAATCAGAAAATCTGATGTCATTATTCATATTATCATTACTTTGAAAGTTTCTTTCTTTTCTTTCTTTCATTTTTTAAATACTTTGGGTTTTTAATGTATATATATAAATTTAACTTGTTGGGCCCAAATAGCTTCTTTATGTTATGATATTACACTCCATATTTTATTGTATGTTTGTGTTTAACTGTAATGTGCTAAAATTTCATGTTAATACATGTATATAAATTAATTATTGCTTTAAAACTACACATGCACATATGCACTTTTTTTCTTTCTCTCTGCTGTTGATGGATTACTTTTTTTTTTTTTACCAATGTCGGATTTGAAATTGAGGTTCATTAAAATTTATTTACACTATTCTCCATCTTCCTTTCACAATTAGCTTTTTTTTCTTTTTTTTTATTTAACGCTTATGATTATTTAAAAAAAAAAATTAAAATAACTTTTTTGTGATGTTTCTAGATCATTGAAAAACACATCGGACACGTCACACAATTCCGGATGATCTGAAATGAATGTGCCTACATTTTTCATATAGATTCTCAAAACAAAACTGTCTCCACCAGATACCAAATACATATTTCAATAAAGATTGTTATATTTCAGTTTTGACTTTGATTTTTTTATTTTTCACACACTTGCGATTCTTCATCTTAAAATGTAATAATGCTATAAAATTTATAGCGTAACAGGTAAGAGATATAGGTTTTTGTTTTCAAAATCGTGTTTTGAGATACTGAAGGCACAAAGTATTGGTGATGGTTGTCTATAGTTTTGTGACGTGGTTCCTAATAATTTTGCTAATGGTTTCCTGACTGTTGAAAAAGTTTGTAGTCTTAATTTTGTTTTTAACTTAAAATATGTTTGATGATTTAGTCTAACCCCATCTAGCTAATATTCCAAGTATTATCAAAAGATCAAGTATCCCTTATTTTGTAGTTTGAACTAACAAGTTTACTGCTCTAATTATAATAATTTCTTTACTTGAACTTAGTGTGTTAAGATTACTTTCACTGTAATAAATCAAAGCTTAATGAATAATGCATGAAAATAATTTGAAATTTCCCAATATTGTTTAAAACTCATTTTTCAAAATGTAGAAATTCGAGATAAACAAACTTTTTTCAAACAGTTTTAGTAGAGCATGTAATTCACTGTGCATGTTTTGATTGTTCTTTTACTATTTAATCCATTGATGTACTAACCTGTAATCTTCTAATTTTAGAGACAAATCAAGTTTTCGAAACACCGATATTTTCCCGCGGTAGCATAAGAGGCCAAAACGTAAGCGTAACAAGACAACTGACCGATAAGCAGTCATCAAGTTTCCGCTTCAACAAGAGCATGCTAATTTTTTTTTTTTTTTCAATTTCTTTTCAGCTGTTTTTTGAATTGTTTGTTTATTTTTTTGTTTTGTTTTTTTATAAAATCACTGAATCTCTTTAAAACTCCATTGTATAATTATCCTCAATATTGTGAGGTGTACAATTAAATATCTTTTTTAAAATTTAGTTTGCTATTGAATTAAGTAAAGTACCCTTAACTGTTAATTTGTCATAATTTCTATTTCTCCCATTACTCTTTTCTTTTTGTAGTATTTATTTCCCAATGAATGACAGAATGATTGTCGACGGTAAGAGCTTGTGTATTAACTTTTAATGTGGTTTACTAGCATGTGATGAGTACAATCAGTAATCATAGTGTTCAGATTATATATTAAACTGAAATAATAATTTAAGGAAGACTGTCCTAAGTTAAAAAAAAAAGAAGTTAAAAATAACTATCCATGCTATATCTTGTACAAATGTAATGTTAAGTGTAAATAAGATACCGAGAACTTTTTTAAAAATTCATAATTTATAACCTGAACTTAGGATTCAACATGGCAAACAAGTCAATTCGTTTTTATAACATTTTTTCCGTCTTAGAATCGATAATTATTACTATTAGATTCTGCCATAAACCAATTCTTCGGATTTTTCAGTTATTAACAGGTCTAAATTTTTTATTATCTCTTTGATATCTTCCTGTTGGATGTTGTTCTCTATTGTATCAGGTAGGTTAACAAAGCATTAATCCTAATTTCTTTTTATTTTTCAGTTGTGATTTCCTGGGCTTTATTTTATTTATTTATTTTTAATGATTTTTTATTAATTTAATCTTATTAGATGCTTATTATTTTAGACTATCAAATAACACTTAATTTGTTTAAATTTATTTTGTACAACGGTTTGGTAGTATAAATTATTGCTATTTTTATTTTTGGAATTTTACGTTTTGTTTATTTTTATGTGTTTTATTCAGAAACACAATAAACAGTTAATGTAATTTTAAATAATTATCATAGATTTTTTGTTATATTCAAAGTGATTCGTTTACCATGAAGTGAAAATAGGATGTTTTTTTAATCCTAATCCGTTGTATGTGAAGTCTCAGGACAAATATAATTTAAGCATCTCGCTCAAAGTTGACTTTTAAGAAACCTTATTCCTTTCCTCATGTTGAAAGCTAACCAATTGCTGTATGAAGTGACTACTTTTCCGACGTGTATCATAGGTTTTCTAATAATGGCTCAGAGAAGCTTATGGTTTTAAAGATGACAGATTTTTAGTATAACGATAAACCTTTACATAAAAAAACTTTAAATGAAACTAAATTGCATTTTTTTCTTGTGTTTTTTTTTTTTTGCAATTCTCTTGTCAAAATATTACAAATCACTAAAGTGAAATGAAATCTTAAGTACTCTATTTTTTCTCTTTAATTTATTGTTTTAAGATGATGCAGTTATCATGTGATCTTCATTAACTATGATTTTAATTATAAAATATAAATCCTTAAAAATTCGCTGTATTGAATTCTGGTCCATGTCAAAATTATAAAATAATTGTCATAGGTATATTTATGTTTTAAAAGTACAGTTCATACCGAGAACGTTCCTGTTTTTTTTTATTACTTGAAATTTAAGTTCAGGATGAAATTATTAAAATATAAACGGACATGACCTAATTTTATTAATCCCCTCTGCATAAAAGTCAGGAATGTGGAAGATCTTCTTTATCACATCACTAGTTTTAAAGCAATCTTTTTTTTTTAAATACTATTACTATAAAATTGAACAGGCGTAATAATCTAACAATTTATCACCCTAAAACCCCCATTCTTCCCTATAAAATTGAAATTTCATATGCTAAAATGTTGTGATGTTACGGAAAACATAAGGACAAGGATATTAATTTTTTTTATAGAAATGTGTTAATTAGTTAAGTTCAGAAAATTCTAGGAGCAATTTTAAATTTGCGGTTTGTATTTTTGTTACTGATAGCGTTTTAAGATTGTGGTACTTTTACATTTTGTTTATCCATTTAATATTAATTTTCATTTTATTTTTGGAGAATTTTAAATGCCTTAGAGTCCATCCTAGTTTTTGTCTGTCCTTACTCACATATATATATTTTTTTAAACAATGGCAATGCATATTAATACTATGATTAACATTAACACAATTCTTACTATTAAATTTCAACTTCCACTCATAAGTCTTTCGATTAAATATTTAAGTTTTACATGTTTATTATGAGAAGCAACATTTTATTTTATATCCAGGAAAATTCTGAAAATCTTGATGGATTATTAATTAATTGGTTTGGATGTTAATATAAGTGTTTTAAGAGTATATTTAAAGGCGGTTTCAGATTAATGATAGACTTATTAAAATAGAATACTTTTCAATTTAAATTACGATATTTTACTTTATTTAAGTACAGCACAACCTCAACGTTTATGGATAGTATCGTGTCAATGGTAAATTAAATTATTGTTTATTTTGTCAATACTAAATGTTATAATGTATTTTAAAAGGCAGATATCAAGTTTTTTATCATTTATGTGACGTATGTGGAAACTGACTGGTTATGGGTTTCTCAATGTTTTTTTAACCTGCTGGTTATAACCGGCTTTCACTTATTTTTTCCTGAGGGACAAAGTTTTTAATTATGAAGGAAAAATGAAATAATTGGCATATTGTGCCATCATTTTGTAAGAAAAAAGTCTACTTAATATCATATCTTAGGCACCTGTATAGTGTATTAAGTGCAATAATTACATTTATGGAAAAACACAATTGGAAGTTTAGAATTTTCACAGGTACAAGTTCAATTTTCGAGTTCCAACTCATGATTCGCAAAAAAAAAAAAAAAAAAAAAAATTCATTTCTGTAATATCTGCATAACTTAATCCATTAGACACAAAGAGAGAAAAATTATCTTTCCAGTGATACCCATACAAATTCACAAAATTGCACCTTAACACGCTTTTCACAGGTGCCACAGATATAACGTTTATTTTATTTTTACAATGTGTCAATTTTTTTTTTTTAATAGTACTTTGTGTTATTTAAATAAATATGGAAATTATTTTTCACATAAAAATACGTCATTCAATTTAAAACAATAATTCAAAGACGTAAAAATAATGAGAATTTCTGGCTCAGGAGTGATGCTTTGCGTCTTGAAAAAAAAAAGAAGAAGAAGAAACAATTGCTGGTTGATTCCTGATTACTAAGAACAACTTTTACAAAACTTTTATTATTAATAAATTAATTTTTTTTCGAGTCGGTTATTTTGACCTAATTATGAAAATATTTTTTAATCTAAATTTTGTTATCTAACTTGAAAAATATTAAAATCAGGAATTGAGCAATGAGGTAACCTTTTATTAAATACTGAAAAATGTTTTGTGAATGTATGAAAATATAAAAATTCTTATTTACATGGATAACTAACATTATGTTGGTTTTCTAATTCCCCTCCCCCCATTTAGTTTATCTCCGTTGAATTATTTCATCAGATGTTTTTCAAATTATTTTTTATGAATAATCAATTAAAAAATATTGTTTTTTCTTTTATTGACTTTTCATAAGAACTAGTAGTAAATTCAAGAAAAAGTACTCAAGAATTAACTTTTAATATTTGGCATATTTAATTTTATAATTAGCATATGTGTGTATATATATTTCCATCTGTTTTTTCTCAATTTTTATCATTATAATTTAGTCATTTTTTATCTTGTTTACATTAATAAAATCAATATTTGAGGTTTTGTTGTCTGCTCGTCAGATTTTGTTTTGTCGAATTTTGTAATAATGAAACAAATGTCCCACCCATATCTCTTCTTAGCATAAATTCTTTATAAACAAATAATATTTTTTATCAAATTCGAGCAAAGAGATTTTTGTCCAATAAAGTGCTAGATTGTCTTAATTTCTGTTAAAAATAAGTAAATATACTATGAGTATAACTACAGCTAGTCCCTGACACAGAATTGATTATTTTAAAAATATTTTATTGAAGTTATGTTTTTTATGCCTGATTAGTTGATATTTTTAAAATAATAATTATATTGGTTCTGAATTTTTATATTTAACGACATGCCTTGATGAATTCTTTGGGGTTCTGCTGTACACCGCTAAGCTAGCTGCTACTGACCATTTTTAATGGATTGGTTTTTATCGAGAATTGAAGAAGTTTTCTTCATCTTTTTTATAATTCCCTTTCTTCAGCCTGATCTTTTAGTACAAACTTAACTGATACAGTGGAGAACATTTAATTCGAAATTTTGAATTTTTTATTTTTCAAGTTATGAAAATATTATTAAATAACTTTTGTGATTGGCAAATCGTATTGAGAAAATAAATATATCATGCAATTTTATCAAAATTAAAAAAAAATATATATATATATAAATTAAAGACAATTTGTTTTAGGCTGAAGTTTTCCTTCTAAAATAAGGATGTTTTTTACTTATTTTATCATCTTCCTAGTCTTAAAATAATTTATATTGATCAATTTTATTATATGCCATGTTATTTAGCGAATAAAATATTGTACTGGACAGAACTCCTAACTACTAAGGCTATAAACCTGTACAAAATTAAAATTTTAACTTTCAATTAAATTTTGAGCTATGCGCCAGTATGCAATATTACTATTATATAGAATGATTTCTACATTTAGTATTATCTTGAAAGGAGTGATATCAACGGGTCTGGGAAATGTACCTTTTAACTCCTTAAATAAATTCTTTCTTTTTTTTTTTTTTAATGGTAAAACTCAAAATTATACAATTATAAACAAATGTTTCTGTTTCTATTTTCATTTTTGTAGCATATGAATTATTTAAAAATTATAATTTAAGATTGTTGTATGTTAGTAATTTTGTATATTACTGTATATTTTTTCATCCTACACACATTTTCTTTTAGTTATATGAAATTATCAATAAAAACAATTACAAACAGTTGTTGTTTCATTTCAGCCTATGAATAAACTATTTAGTCCGGATTCGTCTTACCTAAGACAAGTTTTTACTCACCATGTTA